ATATATGTATGTATTTTGCAATAGTTATGTTAAATAAAATTTAATAAATTTTTAAAAAGAAAAGAAAGGATGCTCAATCAGCCAATGCCATATAACCTCCCTGCAAACTTTATGCAAGCAAAATCAGGATGAGTGCTCTGGTCACGAAATGGGTCATCTGGAAGTGATGACAATTCTCAGCCTTCTTCTGTGCACCATTAGTACAGTGGTACCTTGGTTTGCATACGTTTTGGTTTGCATATGTTTTGGATTACAAACATGTCAAATTCAGAAGTGCGTGTCCCGGTTTGCAACCTTTTTTTTTATTACAACCCAATTTTTTTGGAATAAGAACAAAAAATTTTTGTAGGCCCCATTGGTGAAAGGTGCGCCTTCGGTTACAACCTGTTTTGGTTTACAAACGGACCTCCAGAACAGATTATGGTTGTAAATAAGGTACCGCTGTAGTTTGATTTTTAAAGGTAGCCTGATTTGTCACCTGAGAATTATGCATCCATGTCTTGACATTTGAAAGGAGGGGGAGACCTATTGTCAGAGAAATCAATAAACTTGGGCTTCAATATTAAAGCTAACAAACTTTGCTCTGGTTAGCAGTTGAAGTGTGTATGTCAGTGGTTTTCAACCAGTGTGCTGTGGCACCATGGGGTGCCTTGAATGATGGTCAGGGTTGCTGGGGGCAACCCTGGCCTCTGCCCCTCTTTCCTTCCCTCCTTCCTCCTCTCGCGTCTCTGCCTCCCAAAGGCTTGCTCAGCTGTTTGTTGCAGCAGCCCTGGCTACAAGCTCCCTGGGTGAATGGTCCCTCTGGGGCCGGCCAGGGGGTGCTTCCCAGGGCCCTGTGGGGCAGTGCGAGGAGGTGCCTCTCTTTGGGGTAGGGGGGCAGCTCAGGGACCAGCAGCGGCAGCTGCAGCTGCCCAGGGGACTTCCTAGGAAAGAGGGGAGTCTGAAGAAACACTCCACAAGGGTGTTTGCAGGCAAGGGGTGACATAACCGGGCTCCTGAGCCCCACAGGGTGCTGCAAAAGAATGTAGTTGGTCAGTGGAGAAGTGGACCCAAAAAGGTTGAAAACCTCTGGTGTATGTAACAAATGATTACACATTACAGTGTGTGCGAGGGTGCCGTTTGCTTGGTTCATATTCTGCCCTAGCCACAAGAACCAAGTTGTGCCAAACTGTTCTTACCCATGTAGCCAGAGTGCCAGTAAAGCAAAATAACAGCCAGGCAAGCTGATTTCAAAAGGGCAAATACAGTGGTGCCTCGCAAGACGAAATTAATCCGTTCGGTGAGTCTCTTCGTCTTGCGGTTTTTTCGTCTTGCGAAGCACGGCTATTAGCGGCTTAGCGGCTATTAGCGGCTTAGCGGCTATTAACGGCTTAGCGGCTTTAAGAAAAAGGAAACAAACTCGCAAGAACTCGCAAGACGTTTCGTCTTGCGAAGCAAGCCCATAGGGAAATTCGTCTTGCGGAACGACTCAAAAAACGGAAAACTCTTTCGTCTAGCGAGTTTTTCGTCTTGCGAGGCATTTCGTCTTGCGAGGCGCCACTGTATATTTTAGTTACTTGCTGAAATCTTCTTGTAACATTTGTTAACTTTGCAGTGTAGTTGAGGAAGTGAGCTGCACGCTTGTTTTGTGTCAGCTGCTGTGCGATCGGCACTCTGCACAATGTTCAGAACACCATGGCACAGATGGGCAAGGTGATTCTCTTGATATGCATACAGTGGTACCTCGGGTTAAGGACTTAATTCGTTCCGGAGGTCCGTTCTTAACCTGAAACTGTTCTTAACCTGAAGCACCAGTTTAGCTAATGGGGCCTCCTGCTGCCGCCACGCCGCTGAAGCACAATTTCTGTTCTCATCCTGAAGCAAAGTTCTTAACCTGAAGCACTATTTCTGGGTTAGCGGAGTCTGTAACCTGAAGCGTATGTAACCTGAAGTGTATGTAACCTGAGGTACCACTGTATCAGAAAAAAGTAAGTGATGTTGGCATGTTTCAAATGATTATCTTATGCTTTGATTTCCACACTATTAAAAGCAAGATCCCTTACAAATGGGGCAGTGTGATGATTCAGATAGCTCAACTGGTAGAGCCCAAGACGCTTAATCTCAAAGTTGAGGGTTCAATTCCTACACTGGGCAAAAGATTCTTGCATTGCAGGGTTAGCTTAAATGACCCTCATGGTCCCTTCAAACTCTAAAATTCTATGATAGTAACCAGCAATGACTAGCTTCATTAGGGAGGCTATATTTAAGAATAGACCATTTCTTCTTAACGGTCTTGTGGTAGCATTGCACTTCCTCAGTGTTCTCAACTTGCCCAAGCATGCAGTTTCAGAAATAATTTGCTTCCGTCACCAAAGAAAGGTTTTAGTGATTAAAGTGAACAAGCAACATCATACGGCCACTTGTGCAAGGCACATTCGAAATAAATCATGACGCTACGTAAAGTGCAAAAGCAGATTTCCAAATGTAGCCAAGTTGCCTCTCCTGCTGGCTTACGTTAAACATATCAAACAGATTTAGCAGTCAGTTGCTGCCGCCATTGAAGCCTCCTGAGATTTTGTAGAAACTTCCTGCTGTGTAGGACTCAAGAGATGGCAACTGGCTTCCAGGTAACTCAGCTAACATCAAGGAAACGGCAAAAAGATTGTTATTGGTTGTAATGTCACAGTGGGTCAAGGGCTTTGTATACCACCACCCAAACCTGTGCGTCACTTTTATTTACACAGGATATATAGGCAAAGGGGAACACAAGTGAAGCATACAATTACTGATTAATTATAATGCCTTTGTTAAGAACAAGGGGATGGGTGTCTTAAGGCAGGAGCAGCTGAATGTTTAATAATGAGAGGGACATTCAAACACACACTTTTAATAAGCACTTGAGACTTAAATTGAATGAGGGCAGCAAGCATCCTTTCCTGAGGTTAAACAAAGAACTGTTTTGGTTACCATAAACACAGTGCCATCATGCCTGATGCTGTATAGAACAGAGGCAACACAACCCAGGATCTTAAAAATCTATGAAAATGGGTTTTTAAAAGAAACTGACATGATCTGAAGACAATATAGCAAGACTGTGGCCCAGAACCGACAATGGTGGATAAATCTTTTTAGTGAAGGGATTTAGAGGGGATGGGTGGCCCTGTGGGTTAAACCACAGAGCCCAGGACTTGCTGATCAGAAGGTCAGCGGTTCAAATCCCCGTGATGGGGTGAGCTCCCGTTGCTCAGTCCCTGCTCCTGCCAGCCTAGCAGTTCGAAAGCACGTCAAAGTGCAAGTAGATAAATAGGTACTGCTCCAAGGGGAAGGTAAACGGCGTTTCCGTGCGCTGCTCTGGTTCGCCGGAAGCGGCTTAGTCATGCTGGCCATATGACCCGGAAGCTGTACGTCGGATGGGGCCACTAGGGGCGCATTGGAAGATGGCCGACAATACCATCTCTCCGACCCACACGGGGTAATTAAGAGGCTGTTATGGGAGTAGGCAGCCTCCCTTGTTGCCCCAAGGAAATGGGGAACACTGCTCTTGCCTGCTGTGCCCATAAATCACCCCTAATTCGAAAGAAGGGGGTGAGGGCCCTAGGCAGAATGCCCCCGTGTGGACATCGGCTCTCCTGGACGCTGTCTCTGATCGCGCACTAGTTGCAGCAATTTGGAATAATTAATTACAAAAGAAGCAAATGCACATATTTCAAGTGAAGAAGGGGAGTGAAGTCTGCTAATTTAAGTGACCTCTGCGAAAGACGACGGGCTGGAGAAACAGGAATATTTTACGATGAAGATACACCAAAGGCGGGGTATGTTGACAACGGGGCTGAATGGGGGGGGGAACCTTTTTACTTTCCTTCTATGTGATTTACAAGAACCCCTCCTCATTAGAACCATCGGTTGAACTGACCCAAGCAGGATGATTAAGGTCTGTGTGGAGATAAACTTTAACCAAAAGTATGCTTTATGGAGACCGAGAAGCAATAAGAGCTTTTGGGAATGGCGCAGCAATTAATTCGGAGTCGCCATCTTGCCAAAGCATTTATAGCCGCGAGGAAGAATGGATTTGTTTTCAGACTGCATTCCTAGTGAATCTCCTCAGAGGTTTTGAGAAAGGAGGCAGATTGGTGAAGATTAATAACGCTAAGACTGTTTTGATGTATGGAAGTGATGTTATATGGAAAACGTGTGGATATGGCTACTGGATAAAAAAATTAATATCCACGCAGGATTACAAACTGTTCTAACCAGCTTGCGGAGACTATCAGAGGTCACAAAGAGAAAGGAAAAATATATGAAAATAACAAGAGATGTGGAAAAATAGTAAGAAAGGACTGGATAGTACTGTGAACATCATAAGGTTAGATTTGTGGACATGAAAACAGCAGTAAGAAGCAAGAAGTTGATTGGATCCCTTCGGAACTTGAAATATGGGTACCCCCAACAAAAATTTAAAATTCGGCTGTGTAATTTGGAATTTATGTAATTTGGTTTGATTTGATGTGATTGGTCGGTTAATAAAAATTATTCTTAAAGGAAGCTGTACGTCGGCTCCCTTGGCCAATAAAGCGAGATGAGCGCTGTAACCCCAGAGTCAGCCACAACTGGACCTAATGGCCAGGGGTCCCTTTACCTTTACCTTACCATAGGGTAAGGTTGTTTTGAAATTTTTGGGGTGCTATTAGAGAAACAGCTGCAAGATGTTTTCAGTGGGGAGAATAGGGGGAAGCAGCAATTTGCCATATTGTACCCAAGTACTGGTGAAAAGAGGTTGCTTCCCTTTAGAGGGGTTATCTGTGCATTCAAAAAAATATAGACTTTGCACCTGCATAGATATTTCTGAATTTTCTAGAGCTAGTCTAGTGGTTGTGATCTTCATCACAAAACTAAAGTCAGACTATGTATATGAAGTTGCATGGCTGTCTAGACTGGCCACAATCTTGATCAGGATGTATTCACCATGAGGAAAGAGCAGCAGTGAAGCCTTTTGTGACCCAATTTAACAAGGACAATACAAATTTCCAAATTGCACAAAATGTTTATTTGCGTTCATCTAGTTACATTTAAACTTGTAGGAGCTAGACTGGATTCAAAGTTTTTTTTTGGCGAGTTCAGTTCTTTTTCTTCTTCTTTTTTTTAACCAAAACACTTTTCACTCGTAAAAACAAACACATTAAAAAGATCACAAGAAATCATCATGAAGATAGCGGAATTAATTGGAGCTAGTTTCATAGTTTCTGACAAAAAACCAGAGCTTGAACACATTTCAGTGGTCTCAACAGTACTGCACTTGGACAGAATACAAGAACTCACAAAAAGTGAATATATTAAAGTCAGACACATCAGTTGAAACAAGAAAATAAGACGACAACGAAGACAACTGAGGCATTCAGATGTTCCAGGGCTATCACAGAAAATATATTTTCTGTTTTGCTGTTTCGTTTGCATGCTGCTCAGAAGATAAGTGTGTTCTACTCCAATTCAGGGATTCCAATATTCACACGAGATCTTTGTGTCAACTTCTCCATTCTCTTGCAATGATGCGGAACCTTACAATACTGACCAGAGAGGCACACAACAACCACTTTGCCAGAGCCAGATGCAAATCCTGGAGCCCTGAAGAATTTTGGAAGTGTCCCTGATGTGGGACAATTTTGTAGTCATCCACTAATACTGTGTGGAAGCCAAGCTTCCAATGCCTTACTTTAATCTGAGCATTTGCCCCTTCTTGCAAATTGTATACAAGTGCACCCAATTCTAATATATGTAACAACGCACCAGCAGATCTAGAAGAGAATTACATATTACCTTGGGGAGGAAGCTCCCATCCCCAGAGTACATATCTACTGGTCCAACAGACAAAATATCCAGATAAAATCTGAAAAAGGCAACATGTTCCGTTTTAGTTTTTAAAACACTGATATGAAAAAGAGCAAGTTAGAAAAAGAATAAATTCAATCTTAATATAAGACATTCATAATACAGTGGGACATGCTACAGTAACTGGACAGCAATCATCACAACGGAGATTCTAACATCTTGTTACTTAATACACAAGCTCTACAATCAAATTGCTACCACAGTTCATTGATCCAGATGCTAAAGAGCAGCACATTTAAAGCCCAGTTTTGCTACCAAGTCCCTGACCGATGAGACCTATCTAGTTCTTCAAGCTTCCCTCCCTGAAAAGGCCATTTGGGTGTGTGACGAACCACTATTAATACTCAAAAGTTTATAAACAACTGTTAATAGGTTATGTTTTAGAAAATGAGAGAAAGAGCAAGGTATTTGCTTCCCACAGTCTTCCTCTGGGAGTCATTTGCCTCAACTTGCAATCCCGAACACACTTGCTAGGGAGAAAGCCCCACTGAACACAATGAGATTTACTCCCAGGTTAATATGCAAATGGACTGCTCTGTAAGCCTCATTATTTAAGCACCAGTCTCTTAGGCACCTCCCAAAATTACCAACGCTTTACGAGTAATTTCATTTTTTTTACTGCTAATTGCTAACCACCTGTATTACAAGAGCAAATTATTTCCAGAGTGCTTTCACATAAACACATGCATCTATGTCTAGAAATGGCACTGTGGGATGGGTTTTTTGTATTAGTTAGCACTATTTGTTTTGTTTTTTAAATAAATCCAAATCTGATAATTAAATTAACTGTGGAGGGTAGCAGGTTTTTAGGTAAGAGCTTGGCAGAGCCAATTTTGAAATTTCATAATGATCATTCACACACTTTTAATAAAAAGCTTTGGAAGAGGTATATAAGGTCAGGACAGTATGTGGAATGTAGTTTTCTTGCAAAGTTTCACTGCAGCTACAACTGCACAACAGCAGCTGCATCTACTTTTAAAATTATTTTTAAAAAACATTTTTATATAAAAAGTCGTATTAGTACAAGTGGGGGGGGGGGAGGAAGCTTAAACTTATCTCTCCATGATTTGCGTTTTATTAAATTGTTTGTGAAAAAGTGGTAGAAAGCAACTTTAAAAAAGAAAAGAATTAAGTATTTGCTGTTACATCAACTTCCCCAATTCAAAACTGTCATTTCAAAAAGTTTATGCAGTTTAAAAACCGAAGAAATTAAACCCATTAAATACATCTAAAAAAAAAAAAAAGAATTTGTAAACATCAGGCCACCAACCATTTTTACACTGTTTTCCCTGTTAATGTAGAATGGACTATTAATAATGCAGCATGGTGTTTTAAACCACAAACCAAAGTTAGGCATGCTTACACCCAATTGGCTTAAGTGCACTAAACTTTGTGTGCTGGAGTGCAGCTTCTGCTGACGGACAGCAGAAGCAATACGAAAGGGAAATGCTTCTGTGGAAACCCCAGCTGAAAAGAATGGGCCTTGTACAGTGATTTTGCGCTTCCCCATTCATTCCACTAGGGGCTTCCACAGGAAAAATGCATGTGGGGACTGTGTGCCCAGGACCTGATATATGAACAGCAATTCAAGGACACATTTTTGTCACTTTAGTTCACAGTAAATGTGTTTGAAAAACTATCAGTCAGTGCATTCCCACCCCCACCCTGTGCAATATTTCCCCCACTTCCCCAGAATTTCTTTTTTTACCCAAGTAATACTGAGTCGGAGGCATAGTGCAGCTCGAAGGTGTGCGTGTCTTGTGTATTTAATATCATAAGTGACGGATGATTTCTGCAGGACTTCTGTAAAGGTACTTCCAGATAGCGTAGTAATGAACTGCAGCAGCCGTGGCGACAAACAGATGCCAGATGGCGTGGGCAAATGGAATGATCCCATCGCTCTTGAAGAAGATCACTCCCATACAATAAATTAAGCCTCCCCAGGCAAGTTCTTGAAGTCCATCGGTGTTGTTCTGTGGATTAATAAAGTTTTTATTTTATTTTTTAAGCACTCTTTGTGAGAGAATGAGGCTGGTCATAACATTCTACTCCCCCTACTGAGTGGTACAGCAATATCACGCCCATTGAGACTGTATACACAGACAAGCATTAGCTGTCAAACTATTAAGGAGTGTTAGCACAGAGCTGTTCCTGCAGGTTCAGGCGGAGTTGCCATGTAGTCCTTCATCCCGTTCCCACGGCAGCCGGCAAAAGACTTCTGGAAAGGCTACAAGCAGGGCTTGAACACAACAGCTTATCCTGCTATACCAGCAAACTGGTATTTGCTGGCATGCGGGCTCTGAACATGCAGGTTCCATTTAGCTATTATGGCCTTTAGAAAAATTCCAGAAGAACTGGTCTTACCCACTTTTAAAACCCATCTAATCCAGGACCATCATCTCACCTAGCAGTAGAAAATTCCACAAATGAATCCTGCACTGTGTAAAGTAATTTTGTTTGTCTCTCCTAAATCTATTGCAAATATTGCTGGGTGACTCAAAGTCGTAATGCAATGGAGATAGAAGCACCACTTTATCCAGTCTCCACTGTATTAATTGAGGCTTATAAAGACTATTAAGTTGTTCCCTGTCTTTGTTCTCTCTTCCTTCCCCCACACTATGCCAAAATAATAAGATTCTATTGCTTTAACATTTTCTCTAAAAGAAGGTGTGCCAACATTTTGACAGTGTTGCTTGCCTTTATGCATCTTTTCCAACCTGGATATACATTTTTATATAGGGTAACTAGAGCAGTAGATAGTATTCAAAGTGCAACTACATCATAACTGTACAGAAAGGCATTGCAATATTGGCAATTTCACTTTCCATTTTCTTACTAATACCACTTGACACATAATTGGCCTTTCCCCCTGTCAGCATAGACTCAGTTGCTCTCACCATTAAACTATCTACCACTGTACCAAGATTCTTTTTCTGGAGAATGACAAGTCAACTCAGATCGTATCAGTGCATATGTTAAGTTGGGATATATTGCTCTAGTGTGTACCTTTTTATATTTAGTTATATCAAATCTCATCTGCCAATTGGTTGACCATTCAGTCAGGCTGAAGAGACCAAGTGGCAACTCTTCACATGCAAACATCTTTGGCGTGAAGCCACACACTGGGGGTGGGGATGGAATATTCCAACCTTTTTTCATGTCTACAATTTATATATATTGCACCAGTTTGCTACCCTTCTTGGCTGCACTTCCAGCAACATCTATTCTTAATCACATCCTTCTTATCCCAAGGCTTATAAGCCAAGCCAAACTGAAACCATTTCCAAAAGGTTAGCTGTGTTAGTCCAAATAATATTCCGTACGTGAATGTAATGGAAGTTTAATTGAATGGATATAAGAAAGTGAAATTAATTGCATCCGCTTTGTGTATCTGACCAAGAGTAATTTATCAATATACTGCTTAAAAGCCAATGAAAAAACACTGCATGCTGCTCCATCAAACAAGAAACCATTTCAATCTGCTAAGAGCACAAGAGTGGCATTGCTGGTTTATCTAGGCTATAGCAGTACAGTCGTATCTTGGTTGTCAAATGCCCTGGAACTCATACATTCTGGCTCCCGAACGCCGCAAACCCAGAAGTGATTGTTCTAGTTTGCGAACGTTCTTTGGAACTCGAACGTCTGACGGGGTTTCTGCGGCTTCCGATTGGCTGCCAGAGCTTACTGCAGCTAATCAGAAGCCGCAATTTTGTTTTCAGACATTTTGGAAGTCGAACAGACTTCCAGAATGGATTCCGTTTGACTTCCAAGGTACGACTGTATATCCCAAATTCCATTGCCTTTACTGACAATACAGTGGTACCTAGGGTTACAGACACTTCAGGTTACAGACTCCACTAACCCAGAAATAGCACCTCGAGTTAAGAACTTTGCTCCAGGATGAGAACAGAAATTGTGCGGCGGCGGCACGGCGGCAGCAGGAGGCCCCATTAGCTAAAGTGGTACCTCAGGTTAAGAACGGACCTCCAGAACGGATTAAGTTCTTAACCCGAGGTACCACTGTACTGTATATGTGGGTCAACACTGTTAATCTATAGACATTTGGATGGTGCCATATATAATCATTCTGCTATGTTAAACAGGATGCCTTAAGTTGGTGCCTGCTTCACTGGAGAATACATTTGCCAGCAGTGGTGGGATGGAGCCATGGTGTTATCTTCCCTACACCAATGTCGCTGTAACTTACCGAGGAGGGTCTGGGGCAAGGTTGGGGCTGCATGGACGAACCTGCATCTGATTGGTTCTGCCAGGGCATTCATGCGACCCCAACCTCGCTGCTGCTAGTTGGCCCCATCCAGGTAAGTTGCAGAGATACTGGGGTTGGGATGGCAGCTCCACATCCACCACAGTGGGTGCTGCTACTAGTGTTGTTCTTAAGAGTTTTTTAAAAATGGAGGGAAAAAGAAAAAAGTTAGGCAACAGAAACACAGCAAAGATCTAAATGAATACAGAAGGCTTTTTAAAAAACAAACCTATAATAAGTATTAATAATAGCTCCCAAGAGTTAGATTTTAAAATTCTTTAGCAAGCATACTTACCATGGAGGTCACGACTAGAGCAGGAGAAAAGCCCATTGCTAGATAGAAGAAGAGCTCCACAATTTTATACCTACAAAAATAAAGTAAAGTAAGCCTGCAACCAAGCAAAAGAAACATGCATTCCCGCCTCAAAAAGACAGCAGTTTTCACTTGCATACATTTATCTCTCTCAGCAATACATTGCCAATTTTAGTGGCACATATTTTGTTATACCCTCTACTGCACTGGGCTTCCACAGAATGGAAATAATTTTTTTTGGTTCAGCATTCCATTATCTGGAAAACAAATGTCCAACAGATATCAAAAAGGAAGGCTTTATCCTTTGACGACCCAGTGTGTCCCTGCATTGGAAAGATATCCTCCAGAGAAAACAGAGATCTTTCGTGCAGCCGAAAGCAAAAAAGCTGGGAGGTGGGACGAGGAAATTTGAGTGACGTGAAAAGGAGCAAGGACATACGTTAAGAGAATCTGCCTTCCTCTTGTTGATGTGGCTAGAATTTTTACACCTATTAATCTTACTAGAAAATGATAAATATCAAATATCAGAAGCAGACAGTCTGTCTCCACTCGGTGGAATAGAAAGTGGATTGCACCCAGAGATTCTATTTCTTTGATAGAAATCCAGGTTCTTTTCACCCACTCATATTGAATTATTTATCAAAAGAAATCTCACAAGTGAAAGGGAGTAATTTTCTACACTCTGGTGATGTGCCTGGTGCCAACATGTAATAAGACTGCCTGGCTATTAATTCAGCCTTTTCAGTCTGTGTTTCTCAAAAGAGATAAGAGAATACACTTATGTTAAAATTGTTTTGTTTTTCATTAAATAAAAATAAGCAAGATGACTATCTGTTCCAATTTTTCTTACAAGGAAACACCACGTATAAAATAAATACACAAAGAAGAGGTGTCACTCCAAATGTAGAATGTTCCTTCACAAGTCACGATACCCTTCCATTTATGTATTTTTGCCATTTTCAAAATCGTAAGTTAAGTACACATATTAGAGTTCTGTGTTGACAAAGTTTTAACCATGGTTCAGAAATCAGACGCAGGCTAAAGGGGATAAGGGTTCCAGTCCTCCTCTCTTCTATACTGCTTCAACATTATGCCTGATCATTGCTAAACTCAGTTAACCGTGTCCTAACTCCACTTATGGGAATGCTGGATTTCCAGCTCACAACCTTGGCCTTAACTTGAACTGGTCACAGTTCCAAAAACCAGGACTAATATTTACATCTGCACAGATTCCAAGTCTACGAAACGCCAATTCAAATATGAATCACAATGTTGTCTTACTTCTCATGGTAGAGAAACACATAAATGGCTCCACCAGCAGCCATCAACCAGATAAACCATCGCATATGGGAGGCCAGAGGTCCAAGCTCACGAAGATTTAACCTAAAAAAAATTAAGGTGATCAAATGAAATGCAGAACTGACGGCAGATCAAATCAAAGACGATTTGTATTCCACGTGCAGATATAACAAAAGGATTAAAACTACTCAGACAGAGATATTCATTTCTACACCATTCAATTCATGAAGTATTTTTTTCCAAATTAGTTCAGTAAATTTAAAATACTGATGTGTGCAAAGATGATACCTATGAAGTTTTTACATTTTACAGCAAATATTTCGTTTTAACCATCAGCTTGACAGCAATTTTTTAATTTTTACTCTTGACACTTGAGGTGGCTTACAACAACTTTAAAGAATTTACTAATAAAACAATTTACAACAACTTTAAGGAATTTATTGCAACCATGATGCCCTCAGATATCCCACTGGTGCCTCCCCTGCACCCTGGGTTCTCGGTGTTTTGGTCCCTTTGGGGGTTGTTTAATGGGTTGCTATTTTTGGGTGGGGGTTGCTGTCTGCTTTTTGTTTTTAGTTTTATTTGCTGTGGAGTGTCATAGGCTTTTTGTTTGTATGATGGCAGGGTTAGGTCCTGAGTATTGCCAGTTTTCCTTGTGTGAAATGGGTAATTTGTGGTGCCCACAACAATTACTTTGATTTTCAAATGCGCCCCAGGCCCCAAAAGGCCGGGCCCCCCTACTGTAAGCAATACAAATGAGTAACTCCCTACATGCTATAAATCCTATTAAGATCACTGGTGTTTTGGGAGGGCAGAACTGAAAAGCAGTATCAGTTACTATAGTCATATATGAAACATCCTGGCCCCTGTACATCTGCAACACACCGTTTTCCATGCAGTTACCAAGAATGCAGTTGATGACTAAGGAGAAGCCTCCTTATGTATGCACGTTGTCCTTGATGGATCAGAACAGCTTTGTCAAAAATGCAAAGCCCTTATTTATTAAATGGAAAAAGGATTTCACTGCCCTGCTTCTAACTCTCAGCAGATTAGGCCATGAGCAATTAGTCAACCAATCCATTAAGTGGAAGCTGTCACTGATAATATGCCATCACCATTTCGTCCTATCAGTAAGTACACATTTTTAAACCTTACCATGGTGCATATGATGCTGCAATGAAGATATAGATCATCACTCTGTCACACATATGAAAGCAGTGCTCCATTGTCCTAAATGGAAAGGCAAACAAGGGAACAGATCACTTTAAAAAAATCGGTATGTTACTAGAAACATTACCCAATATGAAACATTATTCTAAAAAATCTAAAAGCAGGATGGTAGGCATGCCATAGAGTTCCTTTCCTCAGGAACAGGTAGCCCTAAATCTTAGTTTTACTGAAGGTATTTTGCTGTTCACCTAAGGCTAAAGAAGCCAATCACAATCCCAACATATCACATGATAGATATGTATGTAGACAGATAAGTCAGATAGATAGACAGACAGACACTTAGAAAGTCAGGGAATCCTGTGCAAATAAAGTTTGCGTTCAGCTACACTTGTGAAGAAGTACAGAAACAGTGTGTGGGAGAGGAAGGAAGGGATGCACTACCTGCTGCTGCATTACCTGTGCTGAAGCAGCACAGGTAGTGCATCCCTTCCTTCCTCTCCTGTACCTGTGCAGCAGATTGGATACAGATGCCTTAAATAAATGTTTTGTGGTCTGTGGCTATACTGTAAAAGTAGCAGCGCAACGACAAATCTTTTTCATCTTGTGTCTTTCACTATTCTACTCTGAAACTTTATACACATAACATTTTTAAGACCAATAATGCACAAAATTCAGTAGAATCCTCAAGCAGGAAAACTCTTATTACCCAGAGTGACTACGGTAAATCATCCCAACCTCCTTTGGGCAAGGAGGGTTACATCCAATGGCACAGAGGTGGCAATCTATTCCTGCAACAGGACTTCCCTTTCTTCTCCCTGCGTGGCCTTCACCTCTGCTCCAACTCTCTGGAGTTTTTGAGGGTGCACACAGGGCTACAAGGGATGGGAGAGGAAGTTCTGCTGCCCAAGCAGATGTCTGTTGCATGAGCAGAACGGCAGTGATGGCTGCAACACGGATAAATCACAACCTAATTTACAAGCAGCAAGTTGTGTGCACGGCAGCACGAATGAACCCCAAATGAATACTTGATTTATACCTTAAATGACTCTTTTTCCAGGAAATTATATGAAACACTGTGGAAACGATGAACAGTGCACAGAGACCAATCCCATACATCCATGCTGTTATCTTTTCCCATCGATCATCAGAGAGCCTATGGAGCAGGGCACTACCCACAATGGCTGGAACAATGAGAAACTAGGGAAACAACAGAACATGTTTATTTGCTAGCCTACCAATCCTCATTTAACATTCTACTTGCTATGCCTAGGCCTCAATCACCTACTATCTACCCTTTGCTTCAAAGAGGAGTAAAAAGAACCAGTGGTTTTTATAAGTTGTCTATTATACCCAGGTTTGTTACAGTTGAAAAGACATTGTTGTTTCTGTCTTTATCATGGAAAAGAGAGACATCTCTACATCAGAGACATCAGTAAGACTTTTAAGAATTTGCTTAGGCTGAAGGTCACAGAACTGCTGTGTCACCCACCCATCCCATCCCAACGCTGTGCCAAAATGTCAGAAGGTATATTGTATCTAGGATTAAAATATGCTGGAAGTAACACTTTGTTAAAGTTAACTGTGCAAGCAAAAACTGCAAAGTGCTTAGAGAAGGACTAACACAAATGCAGACACACTGATGTATAAATAATGTCCTGATTTACTCCCCGCCCTTTAAAACACTCAAACAACAACTTGTTATACAAGTCAACCTCAATGCTACTTCCAAGGTCAACAGCAGCTGCAGCAATTCGAATTTCAAAATAATGAAAGCTACTAAAACAGGAAGTGGAAATGCAGAAACTGCATGACTGGTATAAGGAAGGCCTTTCAAGTTGCAGATTTTACAGAAGATATTTTTATTATGAGATCAGGGTTCCTCTTCTGCTACCCCTTTGTGCTTCATTTTAATCAGAAGACTTTTCAATAATCGAAGAGTATTTTCTAGTCTTATTACTGAAGGCTGGAATTTTTACAAGTTCTCCAGACAAACCTACTCACTCTTAGGTACTTACCGTATTTTTCACTCTATAAGACACACCTTTTCCCTCCTAAAAAGGGGAAATGTGTGTGCGTCTTATGGAGCGAACACAGGCTGCACAGCTATCCCAGAAGCCACAACAGCAAGAGGGATCGTTGCTTTCGCTGTACAGAAATCCCTCTTGCTGTTCTGGCTTCTGGAATTCAGAATATTTTTTTTCTTGTTTTCCTCCTCCCAAAACTAGGTGCGTCTTATGTTCTGATGCATCTTATAGAGCGAAAAATACGGTAAATTGTTCCTACTTTTTACAATTACAGCTAGGAATTTCTTTTAAAGAAAATTATGAACCAAGGCATGACCCTTAGAAATACCACCAGGTTTTCAGTTTAAGAGGGAGCTTGGAAAGTAATGATGGTGTTAAAAGTCTGAGCTACATATCAGGAAGTCCTTGTCTGAATTTCTCCTCTACTGTGAACTCACTAGTTGAGACCACCTAGCCTCTCTTTCTTAGTCTCATCCAGCCCCTCACACCCTGCATTAAGCACAATAATATTGGCTTACCTTAAAGGGTTGTTGTGAGGATCACAACTAGATCTTGTCGGTGAAGTGTGACTACTTGAAAGTCTAAAGTATTGGTATTACTATTGCTACCGTTATGATTTGTTGCATCTGTTTCATTGATTTCAAACTACAAAGTGAGACTTCCAAAATATTTCAACATCCTGCCCAATATGTACCTGCTTGATGGTTTTCCAGCCCAATGAATCACTTTGCTTTTTGACATCACCAATGTAACAGTTTATTAAATACTCTAAAACTGAGAAAGAGCTGCAGTATCTAGTGATCCATGGCACACACCCAAGGAAAAACTTTCTGCGCACTGTGATGCCAGGAGGTGATTTCAGATGCCTTCTTAATGCCAATATGCAAACATTGCAGATGTTGTAAACTATCAGCTTTATAGCAGGAAAGCAATCCATTCGACAGCAAGGTAAAAGTAATTCATCTTTTTATGTCCTGGGCCTTTAAATTTTAAGAAAAGCTGGTATGCATTATGCTATTGAAATATTATCTGCTTGATACTAGTTTGAAAGAATCAGCTGGTTCAGAGCAGCCCCACTTCCTGTGAGAGTGAACACTGGGAGCACATTATACCACATGGACTGACTTCCGCTGTAGTGCTTCTATGAAACCTGACATTTAAACATACAAATGTACAGTGGTACCTTGGTTTATGAACTTAATCCGTTCCGGAAGTCCGTTCTTTAACCAAGGCATGCTTTCCCATAGCAGTGGGGACTCAATTTACACTCAACAGGAAGTGGAACATGTTCTGCTTCCAAGGCACAGTTCACAAACCAAAACACCTACTTCTGGGTTTGCAGCGTTCTTAATCTAAGTTGTTCATAAACTGAGCTGTTCTTAAACCAAGGTACCACTGTATTTGCATTTTACTGATGTCTGTGGCCCACTGGAAACTGACAAACATCACCAAGGCTGTATTAGAAATAAACCACACATTTTACCATGAGCTGGCAAAGAACGAATCAATGCTACTAAATGAAACAAACAACAAAACATAAAACTCAGACAAAGTAGAAACAACAATCAAAAGACCAAGTTCTTTCTGGCAATAATTTAATCATTACCTTTATCCTGAAAGCAGAACAAACTACAACTTTTAAATAGCAAAACATAAGCAAAAATCTCTGATATAATATGTTGTGCACAACAGTTAAGGCAGCCTAGTTTGAAAGATTAATCAGAGTTTTGTTCAGCAAAACTTTATTTATTTATTTCTGGGGAGAAATAAATAATTCCATTTTAGGGACTGGATAAGAAAGCTTTATAAGAATTTGTGCTTTTTCTTTTTTAGGCCATGGATTACTAACAGTATGCATGGGCTGCAAGACTAGTAAATATTTTGTTTGTGGGAGAATACTTTAGGCAGCCTTAGAAGCCGCTTTGAGATGGAACATATGCTTCAATTTAAAACACCACTGCTGTCTTATTTTTAAAAAAGAGTGTCAAAACATTTTTGAAATAAATCTCTCTATATCCTCCAAAGTGGGAGAAAAATCTTTAAGCAATTATTAGTTTAGGGAAAGTAGATCCTCGTGAGGCTTTAGCGAACTGTTGATTCCTAAACATGGAGCAGAATGGAAAAAGATTGTATGTGTTATGTATGAGTGAATGAATGAATGAATGAATGAGCAATCAATGGAATGTGTGGACTCTGCTGTTGTACCAGAACATTTACTTATTGCAGCAGTCTCAACTGTATTAACGACAATTCAGCCTGTATTCAAACTATGAATAAAACAAAATCTTACACAGATGGGAATTAGAATTACTTTTGATTGTGCTGCCAATAGATCAATTTACTTACCGCATGAGTGTAACAGTTAGCAGCATGCTCATAGCAGGTAGGTTTGTAACGGCTATTTGCTGGAGCTGGGTGGTTCATGAATCTGTTGAGACAAGCAAAGCATACCGCTGACTTAAAAGGATGTAGAGGAACAAGCTCAGAACGCTCAGCAATAGCAGGTTGTGACCTAGACCAAGGTTAATTGGGAGGTGAAGAAATGTAATGCATCATTTGGAAGCACTGTGTTCCACACTTTTTCCTACAGTACAAAAGGCAGCAGTATTTTCTTTACTCGTGACAAGAAAAGCAAGTCAGATTTTGTCGTCAAGGGACCTACTTCTCAATTAGCTGCCTATGTGAATTACGAATAAAATAAAAATCTCAACATACACATCACATCCTCCAACCACAGGCATCTTTTTTAAAAAAAGTTTTTGTAAGCCCTAGGACTTCAACGGACTGCCACAAGTTTTTTATTTATTCATATACCACCATGGACTTATTTGGGTTTACAAAAATGGAAGGGATGAAAGAGAACAATGACTAAATGCAGTTGCAGATACTTTTGTCTTTGTTTCCACAAATGGGGATGAGACACATACAGAGGTGTTCTTGTCACAAACATATGAGAAACTAGTTTCATCTGTGGTCTTGGTATCACACCACCAACACAAGCTTTTACAGTTACCAGTAACCTTTATTATCAGCATACAACTGGGCCAAACACACCAATTGTCCAATTGTCAACTGACTTTCAGCAAATGCTGGAAGCTTACAGACACTTTTGAAACTACTAAGCAGGCCATTCTGTTTTTATGAACTCAATAAGGATACTTTAACAAGTAACACCCCAAATGATAAAATTAAGAAATTATGTGTGGCACTTACAACACCACGATGATCAGGATACATTGAAGCTCTCATACCAGTAACTTTCCTTTTTTAAAAAATTGCACAACTCTGAAGTATTTATCAAACAAATGCTGCAACACTGCTTTTGCTCAGTCTGGTTTTATGACTTCTGCTGCCACCGTGAGGGCTGGAAGAAAGACCTGCTTCCCGTTGCAAGGCCTATTTCCACCTGGCCTAGGGGGTAGGGTCCAGACTCACCCTGAATAGCTAAAGGGCTCCTGGGAGGCCGGAGGGACATTGCTGGAACAACTCTTAGGTTGGGGCAACTAGCTAAAATGTTTTAAATGGTTCTAATTTTGGTTCCTCTGTTTTGTTTTTGTTGGGTTGGTTAAATGATTAGTTGGGGTTGGCAGATATTTTAATTTGGGCATAACTGTAAACTGTTTATTATTGTTGTTGTTACTGTTGTTATTATTATTATTGGTTTCTATTGATTTATTGGTTTGTTTGTTGCTTTTATAGTTTATTTGGTTTTTTACTGCTAGAGATTTTGTTGCATTTTTATATATGTTGTAAGCCGCTCAGAATGGCTGGGAAAACCCAGCCAGATGGGTGGGATATAAATTTTAGAAGAAGAAGAAGAAGAAGAAGAAGAAGAAGAAGAAGAAGACGACAAACTGGAGTAGTCTGGTAAGATTACACCACAGCAACAGTAGTGAAGTGCAGTGTTTAAGAGATCTCACTTGCTCCTGGACCCTTTTTTCAAAATGGGGGTAGGGGGCAAGTTCATACGTTAACATGTAATTTATAACTATCTCCTGAAAATACACACCAACTTTAATTCTAATATCTCACTCACCAGTGCATATATTACGTCATGAGCTTACAATCTATTTTGTTTTATTCATGGTCCCTTTCAAAAATAGACATAGGATAAAACTATGGTTTGTACACAAAATGTAGAGAGCTGTCCTGATACGCACACCAGCTTCCCTGATGTCTCAATCTTCAAGGGAGTTGCCACATTGAACATTCAATATGGTGCCCTTCAAAACCCGTACAAGGGTTGAGTTTTGAAACTGAAATATCCAACTGTGTTTCTGATGTATGCAACCCATTCCATTCCACTCCTGCAAAATTCCACGGAGTTATTCCATTGCAAATAAGCAGACTAGTTAAACCCCAAAGTCTAACTTTGCTTGGACTACTGGGAAGTACATCTTGCTTAACCCAATGGGATTTATCTCAAATAAATACACTGAGGCTCATCTAGAAGGTTTGTAGACAGAAACAGTATGAATGTTTCTAACTATAGTCTTCAGTATTGCTGCCTGTCCTACTGTGGCTATGCAAATACCATTTGCTATGAACAGGAATAACTTTGCATCTAAATATAAAATTTTATGCAGATCTCTCTATTGTTTCTAGGTTATCTTGTTTCTGTTTCTCAGTGCCCAGCCTGTACAATATGAAAATACTATTTTCCTACCTTACTGGGTGACCAAATAATTACAAGCTTCATAATACATGCTAGTTGCATATACTAGTGAGCCAAAGTCTATATATTTTTATTTACTCCCAAAACATGCATAAAATTTTGTGCTAATCTCTATAAACATCTATAGTGCCAGTGCCACTTGGTAAATTTCATGCTAGAAACCGCATTACTGAAGTGATGATTTTAAAGTAGTAAATGGATAGCTGTTTGCACTAAAATTGTTTGCTTTCAAAAATTATATTGTCACAGTGTAGATAATACACACCAGACTGTTTTAGTCCATCTGAAATCTGCAGCTATATCAGCAGAGGACCACAGAATCAATCTAGCAGTTTGGCAACAAAACTCATATGGCTGCAAACACCAACAATTATTAAAAACCTATCATCTTATCTCCAAATAAACATGTATAGGACTGTGCTTTAAGTCCCACTGCATTCAGTAGGGCCTGCTCCTTAGCTAATGTGTTTAGGACTGCAGCCTTAACAAATAATTTGTTTAAAGAAACTCTTTGAACTTTGTGGAGACTGACAATATCCTGTTTCCACTCATAACAATAGTTTGTTTTGCAGAGCTATACACACTTTATTTTTTGAAAGACAGTCTCTGCCCACAGGCTCACCATCTAAGAGAGACACAAAATAAAATAAAATCTAGAAGTAACACACAAAAGAGATGGGGAAATGGGTATTCATACAAGTTCTTTTATGCTGCGCCAGTAAAGTCACATACAGGAGTTTATATAACACATTGCTCTGTGTGCATGCTAAAAAGAAAGGAGTCAATTTTTAAATAGCCTTGGAAGCAAGGGGAAGATATGGTTTTGCTAAATTGCTTTTTGTAACAGCCTCAGGTTGTGAGGGCAATATCAACTGTGCTATACACTTAGCCTGCTGTTTCTTAATTTGGAAAGCTGATGAGGGGAAAAAAAGAATCTGATGGCCTAAATACACAGGATCTTATGTATCAGGAATTTATTCTCCAGGCTACACCCAGCTGCCAAAAGCCTCATCTGAGGATATAGAGGGCTCATTCAGACTTGCACTTGTCCCGTGCACAGGTCTACGAGGGTTTTGCCCTGGAAAACCTTCTCTTTACTGATAAATGTGGACAATTGTCAATCTGGAGAAAATCCTGATTTAGGGGTTTTCATTCGGCAAATATGGCTCCAGATACAGGTATTAAATTACACATGCTCAGGCTTCTACAGTTCTGTCAATGCCACTCTTACCATGGAAAGTGTGACAAGTGATCAGCCTTACTCCCGACTTTGAAGTGCCTCTCAAGACCACACCACACCCAGGCCACACCCCTGCCCCAGACACACACCCTATGCTTCACCCTCTCCTTGAGTGCTCTTGCCTAACTCAGGCAATGCCTCTTCCTTGCTTGGATGGGGGATACAACAGGCTATGCAAGTGTGTGTAGAAAACAAGCCGACTGTGCAATGGCAAATTTGCATTCACTACTTCGTTCACTTGTGCATCTGGCCGCACCCAGCACTGGCGAATGTGGCCCTCAGGTAGAAAAATATTCCCTACTCTAAGCTAAATATCTTCCATTTCCCTCCATTGTGATTAACATTCTTTGTGAGGGTCAAAACATTGGAAGAATTGCAGTGTTTTATCCATTGCCACACCACCACCAAGATTTTTGCTGCCTGACAATCCACAAAGGTACAGCTGCTCAAAGACGTCTTCGGCTGTGCGGACTGAATAACTCAATATTGCAGCCTGGCAACATCCCTCTGCCAGAAGGCACAGCTTTGCATCTCTCTCCTTACAGATTCAAACATGTCTTTAAACCTATAAACACATATGGATTAGTGCCTGCCTATCTATAAAAGGGGCAACAATTACTAGATAAAAATATAGTATTTTTTTATTTTTTTAGGTCAATGTTCAGAGGTTAGATTAGTTAACTTCTGATAGCTGTTCTGCCTGCAATTCAAAGTACGAATCTCAGTTGCCCTTGTGTCCAGCTGTATGGATAACTGAAACAGATTGGAAAGCTCATATTGTTATAACTTGGTGCCCAAGTTGTGTTATGAGCTTTTTGAGGCATTATGGCTAGAGTGTGCTAGTTGTGTTGGTAAAAGCTTCTAGCAAGTACCACAGCCAACGACACTTAAGAACCACTTAGTTTTCTCCAAGGCTGGTACAAAGAAAATTTATATTGGCCCCAAGAATTTGGCTGCTGGAACGTATATACAGGCAATGACCATTTTATGCTTGTCCAATATGTGCGCAACCACACAAACACACAAATCACTGCAACCCAGAAGTGTCTGGAAAAGGGGCGAGGCGGTGGCAAAGCAGACTTATGCATGCTCCACCAACATGTGTGGGGGTCAGGAAAATAACCCCCATGCAAAATGGTTGTTGCCTGTACCTGAAAGGTGATTCTGGCTTTAGCCAAAAACATTCTGACAAAGAGTCAAATTCAATGTTAACCATACATGAGAGTAGACCCGTTGAATTCAATGGGAATAACTAACTTAACTCCATTTATTTCAATGAATCTACTTTTGAGTAGAATTTAGTTGGCTACAACTCAGAGGATGTATCAAAGTGAAATGAAATAGATAAAATATAACACTGCTATACCTCTTTACCTGAGCCCAAATTTTAACAATATACCTACTTGACCATAGTCAACAGTTCCAGGGTCATACAAGTACAGTGGTGCCTCGCAAGATGAAATTAATCCGTTCCGCGAGTCTCTTCGTCTAGCGGTTTTTTCGTCTTGCGAAGCAACCCTATTAGCGGCTTAGCGCTATTAGCGGTTTAGCGGCTATTAAAGGCTTAGCGGCTTAGCGGCTAAAAGGCTATTAGCGGCTTAGCGGCTTAGAAAAGGGGGGGGGGAGCGAAAAAAATCTCAAGACTCGCAAGACATTTTCGTCTTGCGAAGCAAGCCCATAGGGAAATTTGTCCTGCGAAGCGCATCGAAAAACGGAAAACCCTTTCGTCTAGCGGTTTTTTCGTCTTGCGAGGCATTTGTCTTGCGGGGCACCACTGTAAAGAGGAAAGGTCTGTTCAAAGTAAGAATGAAAAGCTGGGAAACCAAGAGGAAAAAGGCAGCCATTGCTTCAGTATGCCTCATGTGTAAAACAGATGGAGGCAAGCTTATCAATATGGGGATGAACCTTGTACAAAACTGGCTCAATCATTAAACTACACCTCCCTCCTTCCCCCATGCTTCTATTATTCCTTTCCTTTTAAAAAATAAATAGATGTATTTTGCAAGCACTGAAGTAGCAATACTGTACAAATAGAAAAGATAAATATCATAAACATCTAAATTCCAGATATTAGCCTCTTTATGCAATACAAACATTCCTACTGACATCTTAATTCAATTTATGAACCAACACGTTGCTGGACAGAAATGACCTAATTTGAGCAAGAATCTATTTCTGCCCCTTTTTAATGATTTCCAAATTGTTTTTACATTCTTTGCTGCCCCTCTTTCCCAGTTCTAGACTGTAACATAGCCAAAACAAACAGATGAATCCTGTCTCACTGCAGAGTCAATCATTCAAAAGAGAGAGGAGAAAAATGCTGAAAATCCTCTCTAACAGCCATACGTGAAGGAGAAGCTTAGTTCAACCAACATGAGTATGATAAACACCGGATATATGAACTTTCACCCACTTCCAGAAGATGGAAAAGCCTCATCTTTCACTGTGATCTATTTCCTTTCTAAAAGCAGAGCAGTATACTGTACTCACCTCTTCTCTCAGTCATCAGATGCCTACCCACATTTTGAAGAGAGAAAATTGTGCAAACTAGACTTCCACTTGCATATAAAGTTTTAAGAGCCCAGTAAACAACAGCAATGTGCAGTACTGGATACCCACATTCTCTGAAAATCCCAGAAGCCCAGCTCTTATTCTCAAAAAGTTTATCTTAACTCTGTTTGCTTTACCCTTATGGTAAAGTGGTAGGGAGTGTCATGAAAACCACAGATGAACAGGAAAATACAGAATCATGGGAAGAATTGGAGAGAAGCAAGAGCATGAAATTAGTGCAGGGGGTTGAATTTCAGATGCCTTTCATACCCAGCCTTGAGCCAGGAACACTTGCCTCCCTGAGATCAGTGCTAACATTCTCAGGAAGAATGGCAGTAAAGGAGGTACAGTACTATAAGACTACTCTGAGCAAACATTAGTTGAATATGACCCAATAGGGTCAAGGCAAGTGTTATATCTGGGATAAATGTGTTGTTGCTTCAAGGGATTAATCTTGGAGGTGACTTCTTTCTGGTCAGATGCACGAAAACAACCTTCCTGCTTTGCTCATACAAGAACAATGCATGTTACTACAGTACAGGAATGCACAATCAAATTCCACTGGCTTTTGCAAGTAAATATGTGAGATGTTTTTCCCCCTCTAGAAAATAAAAGAATTTTGTCAGAGCATCCCCACTTTAAGAATGTGATTTTAAGTGTGACTTTCTGAACAGTGCAATATGGGGAAGAGCCCTGAGAGAGTTAAAAGGATCTGTACCCCATCAATGAAGGTACAACAGGAACATGTAGGAGATGCAAAATGAAGCAGAAAATTCACTACATTATAAACTACAATATGATCTCTCTTAAGGAAAATTTAGCTGAAAAACAGCTCATTTTCCCTTTCCACACCATCTTGCAGAAGTCGTATTTGAATTATCCAATTCCACTGCTCTCTCTCACTATTGATTTTCACCCAGTACACGTATTCCCAAACCTGTTTGTACTTAGTCCTATTCAGCTGCTCTTTTGCACAAACACTGTTATGAGAATGTTTTATAGATGGAGACCAAAGCACTTTCCAAGACAAGAAATATCAAATCCGTATCAACTACAGAAATTCCTACTGATTTCTTAAGCCAAGGCCCTCATGAGTGTCCAAGCAAACGAGTCAAATAAACAGGAAACAAAGGATTGCATGCTACACCCTTTTACTTTACATCAACCAAAGGAAACTACTTCCAGCACCTTCCCTGGTGCCACATACACACTTTACTTCATTCACAGCACTCCCTCAGTTTTAACTCATTCATAATATTTACCACCACTCAATTCTGTTGTCGCAATCTCTCCATGACCCACACAATCACACTTTGCTTTGTTTAGGCAAGGTCTACCCTGTGTGGAATTAAGATCTGTGATAGTATCACAACAGGCTAAGGGACATAGGAGCCAACTTCTAGATGCCAAGGTCCTTTTGCCCCCCATAAAATATTTGAGGGGGGGGCCGCCCCCCAAAAAGTTGCCATTGCGCATTGCCATTCAAATGGTGTATCATGCAATTATGTGATGCTTACCTACCCCTTCCTCCCCAGCCCCAATATTTTATTCAAGTTTGCACCCTTGCTAAGGGATAAACTAACCTAGGCGGCAGCATCTTGGGGTTCTGCAAAAGCACCAGGGCAGCCTCCCCAAATGCATTCGCGGAAAACGTAAGAAACTACGGTGTGGGTGTAGGAGAAGAGGGTTCAATAGACTAGACTTGCAGGAATGGCCAAACTTGGCCCTCCAGATGTTTTGGGACTACAATTCCCATCATCCCTGACCACTGGTCCTGTTAGCTAGGCATGGGAGTTTTCATCCAGAAACATCTGGAGGGCCAAGTTTGGTCATGCCTGGCACACAGTGGTTCTCAACCTGTGGGTCCCCAGATGTTGTTGGACTACAACTCCCATCATCCCTGAGCCCTGGCCTTGCTAGCTAGGTGATGGAAGTTGTAGTTCAACAACATCTGGGGACCCACAGGTTGAGAAAGGCTGCGAGTAGAGACAAGGAAGGTGGGTTTAACACCCCATGTGAAAAGGGGGGGGGGGAGCGGATATTTTGTCTGTATTAAGTGATCTGGATGCCCGTGCAAACGGGAGGAGACGATCGCGGGGGGGGGGGGGGAATCCCCAAGTGTGGGCGGAGTTTCCCCGGGCGAGATCAAAGGCTTCGGAGGGAAATCCACTAGAAGAATCCGCCTCGTCCCTAAGCGGAGAAAAATATCATCCCGGGAAGAGAACCCTGAATATATCCCAAGAAATGAAATCTGTCGCTCGCACACATACGCCCAGGCGCGCGCGCGCGCGCCTCACCTCCTGAATTTCTCCTGGAGGCGCCGCATGGGGGTCCAGCGCAGCCGCCTCACGTCGAGCCAGGCGAGCTGGGGGTCGGCACGGGGGGCTCCCGGCGGCTCCTGAGGCGGCGAGGGCCGGAGTCCGGGCCCTCATTGGCTTGCCAGCCCCGAGCGGAGGTAGCTGGAGGAGGCGAGGCGAGGCGAAGCCAGGCCCGGGGCTGCTGCTGCTGCTGCTGCTGCTGCTGCCGCCGTTGCCTTGGGGTCGCGCGCGGAGTCGAGAGAAGCAGCCGGCCGGCGGCGGGGCTCCCGCTTTTTAAAGCGGCGCCGTCGGCTCTCGCGCCGCGCGCTCCGGCCCTCGGCTCGGACCCGCCCCCCCCCGCGCGCGCCGTTTGTCAGTTCAGTCGGGTGCCGAGGCCGTGTCGGGAAGCCACGCCCACGCCCGACCGCCGGAGACGCCGATTGGTTGGGAAGGAAGAAGAGGGTGGGAGGGGGAGAGGGAGAGGGAGGGAAGCGGCGGGAGAACAATGGGCGGTTGGCGGGGAGCGCGCGCGCGGTGGGCGGGAAAAGGGAGGCGGCGGGCGGTGAGGTGAAAAGGAGGGTGGTTCGAGTTGAACGCGGTTTAGAAGCGGAGGCGAGGATGAGTCAGGGCAGCGGCTGCCTCTCCTCTCAAAGGGAATCCTCCTCAGAAAGGGAAGGAAGAGTCCTCTGGCTGCCTGAGTTTATTTTCATCCATTTTTCTAGAAATAAAACTCAGGACTCCAAACTTGTTGAGCTCTTTCTCTCTTTTTAAAGGAAACTCTAAGTCGTTCATCTTCTTCTTCTTTTTTTTTAGGCAATCGACCTCAACATCAGAATCAAAAGAATCTTTTTTAAAAAACCCTGTTATTAAACAAACATTACATCCAAAAAACAAAACAAAAAAACCCACAAACTAATCTTACGTAGTTATTACAGTATACATAAACAAGTTGTCAAGCATCTAGAATAAATGTGTATTATATAAAAGAAATAAAAAGAGAGAAGAAAAATGCACAATAAAACCGAAAAATTAACAAAACAAACTACCTATCAAACAAAAAGCAGTATTTAGTTAATTCAAACCAGTACCAGTGTATAATCAGAAGAATCTTTATTTGCATCAGCCACTAGCCATAGGAATAAAATAAAAATGTACTGAAAATAGAGGTTAAAAACATAATTAAAGAAAATATATTTTAGGGGTTTACAACCATAATCAAATATAGATCTTATTCTCATAACCCCCCCATTAAAAAACCTTGCAGTTTTTGCTGTCACCTGATCATCTTGCTAAAAGAAAGGACACAGTAGCAATGGTTATTGCCAGCATGGGCAATAATAAAGGGGTAATAACCTCACTCCTCAGAGCTTTATAAATAGAGTGCAAGCTAGAAGGACACGAGCCACTGACTCAATACTACCATCTCCACAGGGACCTCAACATCCCCGACACTGTTGCCTATTTTCCAAAAGTTCCCCCAGACGCCAGTTAAATCCCTGACGTGTCCAGAAAATTCAGGACTTGTAGCAACCCCCTAGGGGGCTTGTTGCTTTCCCTTCTATGAAAACGGACATCTTATTCCTTAATAATAAAAACAGACTTTGTTTCACCTGGGTCAAAGAACCAGTTTGGCACCCTAATAAAAATCATAATTATTATTATTCTATAACCCTGCCCATCTGACTGGGTTGCCCCAGCCACTCTGAGCAGCTTCCAACATAATAAACATTAAACAATTTCCCTATACAGGCCTGCCTTCCCGTGTCTTCTAAAGGCTGTATAGTTAATTATCTCTTTGGCTCGGGGGGCCAGATAACTGCTGTCCCCTCCAACATTTCTCCAATGAAAATAGGGACGTCCTAAGGAAAAGCGGGACATTCCGGGATCAAATCAGAAACCGGGACGGCTTCTCTAAATCTGGGACTGGCCCTGGAAAAGAGGGTCTTTTTGGAGGGAGCTGTTCTCTTCTGACCTTCCATGGTTGAAAATGGGGACAGTTCTTGAGGGCTGCCTCAAGTCATTGACCCAAACACAAAGAAGCACCTCTAAAGACCCCCCAAAAGAAAGAGCTATTACGTCCAAAAGACGTATCTCTCGAGGGCCTTTCTGTGCCAATCCTGTTCTCATCCGGCTCAGCGCATCTCCCTCAAGAGAGATGCTCCGCTGGTAATTCTCACATTGGGTGCTTGAAGAAAAAGAGAACGGTGTGATGCAAGACACTTGCTCTTCTCCACAGAAGAGGCTGCCCTGTGCTTCTCTTCATGAGTCACTGTTCTGGACCTTCAACCTCTGCTGGGATCCAGTGGTTTTGGCATGCTATTGGGTTGTTTAAGTTGGAGATAAAGCAGGACCACAAACTGGCTTCAGTATTGCGTCTCTACATGAGTCGCCAGCCTGGGCTTACCTCTTTTCGGTCAGGATTCACGCTTAGACACCCACAGCTGTCGCTAACATGGGAAACACGGCATTATGCATTGCTGAACACCTTTCTCTGCCTATTTGTAACAATTTGCAATGGCTGAGCTGCCCCGACTTGTGAAATAGGTGTGTTGGTAAACTGACCATAGAAATTCTTTTGAGCCTCTGCTGAAGAAGAGGTCGCAGAATCGCAGCCTAGAATTGCAAGCGGTGAGGGAGAAAGAGGTAGGAGTTTAGGATGCTGGTCAACTGGCAGGTCAGATGCTACAGAAGCTGTGGTCTCTACCACCAGCCAGATACTAATAGATGTTCTTCCAGTTGCATGAGAGTCACTGATTTGCAAACAGAAGAATGTTTGAAAGAACTAACAGCATGAGAACCCAGTTGCATGGATCTTTATCATATAACTGGGTGGTGCTGTGGTCTAAACACTGAGCCTCTTGGGCTTGCCGATCAGAAGGTCAGTGGTTTGAATCCCCACATCCAGGTGAGCTCCTGTTGTTCGGTCCCAGCTCCTGCCAACCTAGCAGTTCAAAAGCACGCAGTGCAAGTAGATAAATAGGTACCACTCTGGCGGGAAGGTAAACAGCGTTTCGGTGTGCTGCTCTGGTTTCGCCAGAAGTGGCTTAGTCATGCTGGCCACATGACCTGGAAAAACTGTCTGCGGAAGTGGACAAATGCCTGCTCCCTTGGCTTGTAAAGCGAGATGAGCGCCACAACCCCAGTCTTTCCAACTGGACTTAATTGTCAGGGGTCCCTTTACCTTTACCTTTATCATATAACTGGCATCCTTCACGGTTTCCATTATGTCTGAAAGACTCATGGAATCAAACACTGCCCTCTTAGCTGAGTCATTTAAACATTCAGTTGTGAGGGAGCTGCTCTGCGATTGTTAGCCAAAGTAGCAACTTCTAATCATGTTTTATGCGTCACTACTATTGTTTCGAAACACATTTATTTCTCTTTTCCTCTTAATGCTCATAATTTCTTTTCCATGTGAGGCACAGCTAAATACAGTTCACTTTGTCCTACAAAGTACATAGCCTTGCAGTTGAAACCAAGCAGAAGTGTCCTTTTAAAGAAAAAGAATTACCAGGCTGGCAAGCAAACTGAATTTCCGTCAAATGACAGCAGAAAGACAGCACCCCACCCCCCCGCTTGGCCCTTTGTGTGTAACTCAGGCTTAAAAACAAAGGCCGTATTCAAAGCAGATCAGTTGCAGCTAAACATAAAGAAGTAACAAAGCTGGGGGGAAGTTTTGTTATCAAAGAGGTGTTATGCGGAAGAAGAATGCAAGAACAAAAAGGAATTGCGTTGAAAAAGGCTAGCAATAGCAAAATGATAGCAAAGAGGGACATGATTGATGAGGAAAGTATCATGAATGATTGTTGTCAACCTGCATTGTTGCCAAGCACCCCAAAAGTATAGATCAGAATAACATCCTTTAAGTCTGCAGTTTAAAAAACACTTAGATGTATTCAAGCCAGCTTACGCCACATTTCCAAAGCCACAGTTCACATTGTCCCATTATTTTGACTCGGACTGACAGCTTGATCCTATGGATGTGAGACTTGCAAAGGAGTAATGCTGTGCCAATGACTGAAGCAGGTGCAAAGTAACACTGATTCAAACATTACGTTTTTAGGTACGCGCCTAAGCTTTAAGTGCGCATCTAAAAATATAGTACAAATGAGACAAATGTGTTTGGGAAACACAAATCATGGCCATGTGTAAGTGAGGCAGGATTGGCTGCAGATCCCTTTCTCGGGGTAGAATTAGACACCGGGGGATAGCCATACCTGTGCCTAGTTCTTGTTCACCTAACGAAAAAAGAAAAGAAATTCCCTGTGTAATGAGATCCCATTAAATTGTGGGGTTCACCCAGACCCTATTCCAGGCTTCCTCAAACTCAGCCCTCCAGATATTTTGAGACTATAATTCCTATCATCCCTGATTCCTTGTCCTGCTAGCTAGGGATCATGGGAGTTGTAGGCCAAAAGCATCTGGAGGGCAGAGGTTGAGAAAGCCTGCCCTATTCCATTTCACTGGCTCCCACTAGCAGGGGCAAGGAAACTTACAGCATGATGTCACATTGTGCAGAAAGTTGGACCAGATCTTTGGGGGAAGGGTATAGATATGCCACTTTTGGCTGTAACCTGGGTTCTACCTACCATTCAGTGGGCCTGTTGCCAAATAAAGCATAGAACATCCTTCATTATCACTGGTATGGGTCAAGTACTAGCATGTCATTCTCACTACTTTTCTGCTGCAGGAACATAAAGGGTCAAACTCTGGAGTCAACCCATAACAAACAAACAATGAAGTCATACTCAAAGTAGTCTCATAGAAATCAGTGGGTTGTTCATTATATCTAACCTATATTTATATCAGTGGCTTACAACAAAATATCTTCAACAATTACAATATATAAATAACTCTTGAATGTGTTTATGGCAATCTCTTCTAATCTCCCGCTGCTGCTATTATGTTCCAGGCTTTTCCTTCTAAGGGGAGGTTATAGTAGATGCTGCAAATGGGAAGCTTTAAATGCAAGAAATGCCAGTTTGAATTGTCTGTTGAATATAACCCATGCTATCTCTTCCTGGCTTTACTATTTCTTTTCTAGGTATTTAAATATTTGGATTACACCAAAAATCAAAAAGCACAAACTGAATAACAGACCCATATATCCTTTGGATTGCCATTTCCCTCCTGAATAGTGTGGTAACATAGTGTATATATAATCATAGGTGGCGTCTTCTGAAGGCTATTTAGTAAATTTAGGGAGCTGCCATTAAAAACTAAACTTGCATCATTCCTGGTAGAGTCTCAAATTGCAAAACGCAACTTCTCATCGTTGCCAATATCTGTTCCAGCAGCAACTCACCAGGGTGAATTTAACAAGCACAGATTATTTTCTTAGAAGAAGACTCCAGTGTTGCCATTTTAATCTCTGATATACAAAGGTTTCCTCTGCAGCAGCCCCCTACCCTCATACGTATCACAGTCACTTTGAATTATATGTGCATATTGTTCATTTTGAGAGACAGAAACCCAGCAGAGTGACAGGTCAGAAACAAGGTGCTTGCAGTTCTTCTAACAGCTGCCTTTTCAATCTTCATTTTATAACCAAATCAAATCCTTCATACCACAGATCGCTCAAGCCAAATGACAGGAATCTCAACCAAGACGAAAAAGGACATACTTGAAAGCTTCCAGCGCTGCAAGCCAACACTACATGGTAAGTCTAAAGGTTAGTACTAGCAGTGAGTAAGTCCCTGCACAGAAACATTTGATAACAATATAGACCTGTAAATTCATGCAGAAACCCCAGTGATTCTGTCATAATGACCACACACATTCCATGGCTCAACCGAAACACGGCTCAACTGAAATCAGTCAGACATAAGATTATGCATAAGAAACTTACAAGTCTCGGAGCAAACATTGGGATAGGGGTGGAGAATGGAAGCAAGATCTGTCAACTTTTGATGTAGCAGATGTTGAGTGCTAGTTTCAGTGAGCGCAGCGTGGAACTGCTGCTGCTAAGTTCAGAGGCAGATGTTACCTGCTAGTTCTGACTTGTTGCCCAGAGAATACTCACTTTTCTGGGTTTTTGTAGTCTCAAATGAATCCTTGTTGGTCAAATATTTCCTTTTTTTGCCCCATGAGCTGTTGGACATTCTTTAACACCAAAGTCCTCCTAAGTAACAGAAGAGTAATCAGGCAGGAATCCTGGCTTCCTCCTGGTGTATGTTGATTTCGTTTGTTCAGTCTTCTTGAAGAGTGAGAATGGGGGAAAAAAAAGTTGGGATTGGCATACTTAAAAACTAGTCCGCCCACCACATGGGTATGGAGTAAGAGATTAGCAAGTCTTACTCATGCGACTGTTTGGGCAAGTAGTAGTCTTGCAGAATTAAAGAACAGAGCTTTTGTTTACAAAGTATGATGGAGAATGACCTAGAGAGCAAAGGTTGGCCTTTCCCCCCAACCAAATAACGTGAAGCCCAAATACCTGCCAAAATGAAGCACACAAATGTGTTGTTTCTTTCAGGTGAAGCCAGTGGAATTGCTTTAAGTATTAGGCTTTGTACAAGCCATACATTTAAAGCATTCTGCCCCCAAGAATCTTGGAAACTGTAGTTTGCCTCTCACAGAGCTACAATTCCCAGCACCCTTAACAAACTACAGTTCCCAGGATTTTGGGAGAGATGTACTCTAAATGTGCTTTAAATGTATGGTGTGTACACATATTGCGAGAAGCAAAGCTTCAGGGAACCAGGCAGAGGGCCTTCTTGGTAGTGGCACCCGCCCTGTGGAACGCCCTCCCATCAGATGTCAAAGAGATAAACAACTACCTGACATACAGAAGACATCTTAAGGCAGCCCTGTTTAGGGAAGTTTTTAATGTATGACATATTAGTGTATTTTTGGTCTTTGTGGAAGCCGCCCAGAGTGGCTGGGGAAGCCCAGCCAGATGGGCGGGGTACAAATAATAAGTTGTTGTTGTTGTTGTTGTTGTTGTTGTTGTTGTTGTTGTTGTTATTACACAGCCTTAGATGCTTTTACACATAGGAGCCAACTCCTAGGGGCAAAGGGGTCTTTGGGGCCCCCAATAAAATATTTGAGGGGGCCAGGCCCCCCAAAGCTGATGAGCATTGCCATTCAAATGGTGTGCATGCACCACATCATGTGATCGATTAAGCAGGGTGGGGCTTACCTGCCCCCCATATTTTATTTGAGTTGATACCCCTGCTTGAGTTGGTACCCCTGCCAGCAATTTACAGAGCTAAGACCGTAGAAAGCCAATGCATACAAATCCTGCTTTTCCTTTCCTACTGCAAAGTAATCAAGAATGATTTAACACTTCATCCAGAGTCTGTGCAGAACAAAATTATCGGAGAAAGTTTCCATTGCATACTTTATGCTGTGCATCTTAAGCAAATCTTTCCCTCTCTGCCAACTTGTAAGGAAAGGTCATTGCATTAAATCTGTTAACTTTTAAGGTGCCACATGACTCTTTGCTGTTGTTGCATTAAAGTAGATTTACAGAGGTTTATGATTGGCTTGCACAAGTTCTGATAAACTCAACTCCTGGCAGTTTTTCCAGACTAACAGATGTACTGAAGGGAGGACAACAGCTTGGCACAGATGCCCACTTGCTATGGAAGCAATTTTTCAGGCACCTTCTGTTGTATTGCTTGTTGTCAGCCTTGAATTTCAGTGACATTGCAGAATTCATTGACTAATGTAATATTACGAATTTGTTTCTGGGAAAGACAAGATGTATCAGAGACTTGGCTTGTCTTCAACGATCAAGCTTTAAATTGTGTCAGGTTTATTTATTGTTTAAATGCTTGTCACAATTTCGGGACATGATTTACATTTCATGATTAATTCCCAAGGTTTGCCACTGACATTGAGTAATCTATCCTGGGGCCTGACCCAAAGCTAATTGAAATACTTGTCTTTTCATTAATCTTTGGAGTGATTTGTTTAAAGCAATCTGGTCAGCTCCTGTTCCCCATGTATCCTCTCCCATCTAGTCAAAGGAGCTGTGGAAACCGAACCTCCAACAACCCAACTTTCAATGTCTGTTTACAGTGCTGCAAATCTTGCATCCTGTCAACCCCCTAAACCATACCAGCAAGATCCCTGGGTCTTACTGGGTTTTGTTGCATTGGCAATGGAGCAAAGGTTCTTGTCAACAGCGATTCAGCTGCTCACACCCTCTACCATCCCTGTTTCTGAGGCAACTATTGCAGTACCAGCCAGTTGAGATGCTGTGCTGGCAGCTGGCCAGTTTTTCCTTGGGGGTTCAGGTCCAAAATGTCATGCAGGGTGGTATTCTGGACTCATTTGATCTATTTAGCCAAATATAATAATTCACCTACTCAGCCGGGACCATCTGCCATTTTGGCTCCACCTCTTCTGAAACTGTGTCTTGTTAGGAGCTATTCCACCAGGCTGCAGCAGAGGCTTTGGTGAGACAGTATGCCATCCTTCATTAGCTCAACTGGGACTAGGAATCTGGGAACTCAACTCAAAGGAGTAGGTGTGCAGCCTGGGAGTCATTTTGGACTCACAGCTGTCCATGGAGGCGCAGGTCAATTCTGTGTCCAGGGCAGCTGTCTACCAGCTCCATCCGGTGCACAGGCTGAGACCTTACCTGCCCATGGACTGTTTTGCCAGAGTGGTGCATGCTCTAGTTATATCCCGTTTGGACTACTGCAATGTGCTCTACATGGGGCTACCTTTGAAGGTGACCTGGAAACTACAACTAATCCAGAATGCGGCAGCTAGACTGGTGACTGGGAGCGGCCGCCGAGATCACATAAAACTGGTCTTGAAAGACCTACATTGGCTCCCAGTACGTTTCTGAGCACAATTCAAAGTGTTGGTGCTGACCTCTAAAGCCCTAAATGGCCTCGGCCCAGTATACCTGAAGGAGCGTCTCCACCCCCATCGTTCTACACGGACACTGAGGTCCAGCACCGAGGGCCTTCTGGCGGTTCCCTCACTGTGAGAAGCCAAGTTACAGGGAACCAGGCAGAGGGCCTTCTCGGTAGTGGTGCCTGCCCTGTGGAATGCCCTCCCATCAGATGTCAAAGAAATAAACAACTATCTGATGTTTAGAAGACATTAGAAGACATCTGAAGGCAGCCCTGTTTAGGGAAATTTTTAATGACTGATGTTTTAATGTGTTTTTAATCTCTTGTTGGAAGCCGCCCAGAGTGGCTGGGGAAACCCAGCCAGTTGGGCAAGGTATAAGTAATAAATAATAATAATAATAATAATAATAATAATAATTATTATTATTATTATTATCATTATCATTATCATTATCATTATCATTATCAACAACAACAACATCATTATTGAATCCCTGCTCAGGCTTGAAGCTCACTGTGTAGTCTTGTGCAATGCACAGTATCTCAAATTTTAATCCTAGGGCCAAATCTTATATAACGACCAATTCCTCCTTTCCTGCTTTGCCAGTTCAGGTGGGAGAGGTACAATCTGAAAGCTGAGAGTGATGGGGAAAACAGCCTTTCCCTTTGGAGAGAGCCGTCTCATTCCCCATCAGTACTGGGAACATGGGGATAGCATAGCTTTCTCTTGGAAGACATTAGTGCTTACCACCCATCATTTCACAGCTGAAGAAAGGGACATGGTTGTTTTACACCAGCCTTACACCAACCTGGTGCCTTCTAGATGATCTAGACTGCAACTTTCATCAGCCCCAACCCACAATCCAAAACCACTGGAGGGCACCAGGTTGGTGAAGCCTGTCTCACATCAAAGATCTCTGCCTGGCATCAGTCTTCTCACACCCACCCTGTTCCATCTTGTTGAAGGCTGTTTGTTTTGGCAGGTTATGTTCTGTTAATAAACTGACCACAAACTTTTTATTTTCTCCTGTTTTATTTTCAACCTCCACCCCCAATCCAACTCAATTACATGGAACTTACTATCTAGAGAGGCATCCATATCCAACTTCATCTAGAAACTTGAGATTTTCTAGAGATTTAACCTCTTGCAAGTTGAAGTAGAAGCCTCAATACTGGGAATTCTAGTGGGCGAGGAGAACCAAGTACATCACCTTAAACTCATGGGAGGTTATAAATACAAAATAGTGCATTTGTATGTATACCTTTTTTAAAAGCAGAAAAGGCAGCTCCCGCTCGCTAGATCTGCCCAAAAGGTAAAATGAGGACACCTTAAGCACAGTGATTAATTAGGAACAGAACCATTCCCTATTGAGTGGCACCTGGACATGGTAAATTATAGAATGTATGTCAGTGCCTTTGTGAAATCAGAAACTAGTGTTCTAATCCTCACCCTCATCTCTGACCCATTTGCATGCCTAGCAACCAATTCACTTTGTGCTAAGGCAAGGGGCAATGATTGCTAGGCTTAGCAGCAGCAGAAGCAAAGAGTCAGCAATACATTTGAACATACACAGGTGAACAACCACCACCATGTTTACCACCTAGGGCTGTGTACACATGACCATTTACTCTGGCTCCAGTGCGCTCCCACTGCTGCCATTTGAATAATAATAATAATAATAATAATAATAATAATTTATTTATACCCCGCCCATCTGGCTGAGTTTCCCCAGCCATGCACACAATCCACCTCTATCCTGTAGTTTCTTGAGAAACACTGCTGTTTAATATAGGTAAAGGTAAAGGGACACCTGACCATTAGGTCCAGTTGTGACCGACTCTGGGGTTGCAGCGCTCATCTCACTTTACTGGCCAAGGGAGCCAGCGTACAGCTTCCAGGTCATGTGGCCAACATGACTAAGCTGCTTCTGGCGAACCAGAGCAGTGCACGGAAACGCTGTTTACCTTCCCGCCGGAGCGGTACCTATTTATCTCCTTGTACTTTGAGGTGCTTTCAAACTGCTAGGTGGGCAGGAGCAGGGACCGAGCAATGGGAGCTCACCCCATCACGGGGATTCGAACCGCCGACCTTCTGATCGGCAAGTCCTAGGCTCTGTGGTTTAACCCACAGCGCCACCCACGTCCCTCGCTGTTTAATATATTTTCCCTCAAACCAGGTTCCATCCAATTTGAAAAGATAAGCCACATTGCCCTCACAGTTAAGCCGAGACGTGTACATTTAAGGCAGCTACTGTCCCTGTGCTTATGGAAGCTTCATGAACAGGAGTTGAGTGGTGGGAGCTGCTTTGAATGAAGACACCCCCCAACTTTGGTGTGCACAACAGCATGTGAATGCAACTTGAAGGACAGCAGGGGGAGATGGCTTCACTGTGGTTGAAGCTGCTAATAGGTAAATGACCTAAGATCTAGAGAAGCAGGGGCATGTCCTCCAAGATTTAAAAACGTTGCTGAACGTTTCATTCATCGGACCGCAAGAATGCTCTGCAGCAGAAGAGAAATAAAAGGGAAGAGGAGGAGATAGTTGAGGAACGAGTGCAGATGAGGAAATGGCAGATGTGAGAATCTGAAGCAATGGAAGAAACAGCAACAAAGGAATGGAAAGATGGAGTTGGGTTGATACTTGCTCACCCCTACCACCCCTTCTTTATGACCACATTTCCAAACACATTCCCAGCATTGGTTGAACATTTTGCCGGTTGATTGTAAAATGTATTAACATTAAAGTCACTGTTCAATGACAAATCAGGACGAGGTGAGTCATTTTCTAAACGTTTATGTGTCTCTCTTGCTCCTTTATGTTTCATACGCTTCGTTCTTTTGGCTCATGTCTGCAGTTGTCTTAAATCACATTGGCTTACTTTTCCAGTTCCTTTTCGAAAGACTTTAGTGTGCTTTCATGAGTTATACACTTGCAAATATAAGCAAATGCAACCTGAGTTCTGTGTCGTGGAAGACTTAAAGGACAGTAATATTATTATCTCTCTTGGGCAAGAAAAGAGGAGCAGGAAACCACTGACTCTACCCAGATACAACCAAATCTGGTGCTGCCTAATGACTAAATCATGCTGACTGCGCTCTTTGCTGTGGAGCCAGACCTGAGCAAAGACTAACTTCACCTGGTCCAACCCCAGAGCCCCGCCTCTCAAAAAGACCCTGATTGGCCAATTCAAATTTAGATTTTGGTGGGAAATCTCATTGACTCCTGCAACTGGCTGAGGACAGTGATGGAGTCAGCTGGCCATACAAGAAGGAATCCTTGCCCACCATGTCCTCAGTGGGCTGCAATCACTGCTGCCAACAAAAATTGTAAGGTGGGCCACCCCACCTTGGCTCATCCTGGTCCTGTGTCTTATCTCCTATTGCCATTCTCTCTCCCAGTTTTCCTTTTCCTCTGAAGAAGAAGAAGAAAAGCAGTTCTTGCAGGTTTGATGCAGCTGCTGGCTTAGCACCGCATTGATCTGCTGCTCTTTGTGTGTCCCCAGGAAATCTCAAACTCTAGTATGGTTTTGCACTTTTTAAAAAAGTTCAGAGTGTTGTTGTTGTTTTAACCCAATAAAGGTGATGAAAGAATGGATCCGTGTTAGTTCAGATCTTTTAGAAATGAAGAGAGGCAAATAAACAGCTTAAAGCATTATGAAAGGGCGTGACAAATGATTAATCCAGCATTTGATTCATTAGAATGTACTCCTGTCATTTCAGTTGCCAAGCTGGGCTCATAATGAAGAATTCATTATGATGTACTTTATTTTATTAGTAGTATTTGTATGTTGCTTCATAATAAAGTTTTCTAGGCAGCTTTGATATAAAATCATTTAAATTCAAAATAAAACATAAACCTATAAACTCAAAAGCAACATAAATATAAGAAAACAAAACTCATTGCAACCCCAAAGTTAAAACACAGATTTAAGAACTGGAAGGACAAGTTATTTAAAAGCCTTGGGTGAAGAGAAATATGAAAAGGCCATAAGGATAGTGCTGCTGCTGCTGCAATAATAATAATAAAAATAATTCAGTGTGCTTTTAGTGTTCGATTTATGTTCGTGATTCTGCTGTTATATGCTTTTAATCTGACTGCTGTTTTTAACTGTCTACCTTTTATTTTATTTGTAATCCACTTCATCAGTTTTTTAAGAGAAAAGTGAGATATAAATAATAAAAAATTCATATCCACCCCCCACTTCCTCTAAGGGCTCAGGACGGTATGCTTGGATTTCTGATCCCCACCTCCCATGTGGTAGTGATTGGTCCAAGGTCACTCTGTAAACTTCATGGCTGAGAGGGGATTCTGACATGGGTCTAATCCATCTCTAACCATGCCCTGCAAATGAGACAATGGCTCCTGGTGTGACCAGGTGGCTGATCAGATTAGAGAAGTAAGTGCAGGCAGTTCCAGTTGGGGCATTCAGATAACAGTCCACAATCTTCCTGACCTAGGAAATCAGGTAACCCTTGAAGACCAACCAGATTCCACCAGCTGATATAAAGATTCCCAAGATCCACTACCTTTCCTCAGTTTGGGCAATATCACTGAGATAGGACACCAAGTCTCCAGGGCCACCAGATTATTGTCCTTCACCCCTTGCTAGCTGCCTCTTGCCTAAAGTACTCGCCTATCTCTTGAGCAACATCAGCACAAGCTGCTCTGTGCACAATGGTACTGCTATTACAACCTGAGATGCTTAATCAATCCAACAAATTCAGCTTCCTCAATATTCTTAAAAATGTCCAGCACCCTGACCCTTTGTAAGCCAGATGAAGGCAACAACATTTTTACCAAGTACATACTGACAAAATACTGATCCTAGCACTGATTTCATGTACACACTACACTGATATATGCATTATAGCGCTTAGGAACCAGGAAGTTCCTCTTTGAATCTCTGCTGTAAACTTACTAGGTGACATTAGGTAAGCCACTCTGTCTGCTTCATTATTACAGTGTTGTTATTATATAGTCTTGGTCTGGAGGATAGGACTCGAACCAATGGCTTCAAGTTACAAGAAAGGAGAGTCTGGCTAAACATCAGGAAGAACTTTCTGACAGTAAGATCTGTTTGATAGTGGAATGGTCTCCCCTGGGTGATGGTGGACTCCTCTTTCCATCTCTGGGCTACTGCACATAGATCTAGTTTAAACACATGTGTTTGGGGCTTGCGTGGCAAACCGTAGTGTTGAGAATTCTCACTGGGATGACTGAAAGCCTTAACCTGTTGGAACCCCAAGCAATTGCTAAGTCAGCCACCCCCAGCCTGTTCTCCTTCAGATGTTTAGGACCTTGTTTTCTCCTGCTCTGGAAGGTAGGACTCGAACCAGTGGCTTCAAGCTCCAAGAAGAGAGAGTCCAAGTAAACATCAGGAAAAACCTTCTGACAGTAAGAGCTGTTCGTCGGTAGAACGGTCTCCCTCTGGAGGTTGTGAACTCTCCTTCCTTCCAACTCTACAGTTCTGTGATTCTATGATTCTGTGTTCTACACATGAAGGATAATTGAGGCAATGAATAAGTTAATAAAGTGAATGGATCAATAAAACCTCATGATGATGCAGAATTCGCCTCTTCAGGAGAAACCATTTCTTGCTGTGACGGTTTTCTACTTGCAGAGGGGTGTGTGTGTTTAATGTATGGGACATTTATAAATGTGATTCTCTTACCTGTAGGGTGAAATGGTCCATTCAACTACATCATACATGACCCCCTTCACTTGCCTGTTTGTATAGAACAGGCCGTAGAGAATGCTAGGTAATTAAGTATTGTAACTCTTCATAAATTATCATAATTATCTAGTTATTTGTTTGCTGCTTTCCTTGTTCCCCAATTTCTGTATTTACAAATAAAATATTATAAAATTGATAATGTATTTTGTGGTTTTATATTCTGATTTTATTCTGTGAACTGCCCTGAGACCTCCTAGTTTAGGGCAGCATGTAAAGTCAATAAATAATAATAATAATCCAAACAAGACTTAATCCTACAGCAGTACCCCATATTCCTGCATTGGAATAGAACTGTGTTTCCCAAAGTTGGGTCTCCAGCTGTTTTTGGACTACAACTCCCATCGTTCCTAGCTAGCAAGACCATTGGTCAGAGATGAAGGGAACTGTAGTCCAAAGTAGTTGGAGACCTACAATTCTAAGATTTTATGAACCTCTCACTGCTCAAGAAACTGGGGAAAGCATAACAGTTCTTAGAACTGCAGCTGTATACATCCTCTGCCTGTCTACAAAGCACTGGGAATCCTGTGGTGTAAGCAGTCAGAGCACTCTGGCTTTAAAAACAAGAGAGACTCTGCAAGTGCATTTAGAGCATCACCGTCATGTCTTCTGTGATATGCAACTTATTTCCATTCATTATTTCTTATTTTTTTAAAAAAGAATGTTCAGAATGACTCAAAGATAAGCTGTTCGGCTTCTAAGATGTAAAAGCTCTGTTCCGATGATATTTCCCCCTCTGCTAAACTGATGGGCCCCTTTATCAGGAATGGTTGAGGAGGTCCTGGTGTTTGTCACTGTATCTGTTTGCTTATGCAAGCCCCCATCAATAATGTATCTGACTTTGTTTCCATTTTAGGAGCCTGTTACAAAGGGTTGTTAGACATTGCTCACTTGTTCTTCAGCTTTCCACAGCTGTCCATTTGGTTATCTTGTTTACCAGGGCAATTTCTTCCTAAGAGATTATTTTTGCTTGGCTTTTGTAGGAAGGATTCAAGGTGGTGGTGGGGAGGAGAGATCCCACACTACAGTGGTACCTTGGGTTACATACGCTTCAAGTTACATACGCTTCAGGTTACAGACTCCACTAACCTAGAAATAGTCCCTTGGGTTAAGAACTTTGCTTCAGGATGAGAACAGAAATCGTGCTCTGGCGGCGCGGTGGCAACAGGAGGCCCCATTAGCTAAAGTGGTGCTTCAGGTTAAGAACAGTTTCAGGTTAAGAACGGACCTCCAGTACGCATTAAGTTCTTAACCCGAGGTACCACTGTAATTGTCTTTTTGGACTGTAGTGGTAGAGCACACATTTGCTTCTAAGTGGGGCTGTTCATTTGCAAAAGGGGGTTGTATATATGTGAAAGAACTGCAGCCGAAAATCCAAAGGGGGATACATTGACCAAAGGAGATGTGAAATGTTTGTTGCATTTCACGTGCAGATTTGAATTAACCAGCCAATCGTTTTAGGTGAATTTCTAGTGCTGCTATGATCCCAGGAGAAATTATTCAGAGTAAACAGTCCCTTTAACTACTTTACCACCATAATTTGTAGACACTTGGCGTGGAAAAGCTTTACAGAAATATTTGTATACACACAAACGGGATGTAACGTCTGTTGAACTTACTGCAACTTATTCTTCTCTAAACATGTTTGAATCCTTCAGAGTCAATGCTACTGTTTATGATCCCATTGCCCCTTGCAGATCCAGGGTGCAACACAGGTCAGAAGCTGCACATGGCATCTAGTTACTTGAGCCTCTTGTCAAACACTATTATTAGACTCAAGAAGCTACTCAAGTTAGTTAGACCAAACTGCCTCCTGGCTGCACTCTTTCATTGCACTAGGGGGCATAGGAAACTCCTGTGGGGCCAAGCTTATGGGCTTCCAGGTATTGAGTCCAGTTATATACAAAGCTGGTATACATGTAACGTTTCTTCTACAGTGGTACCTCTGGTTACATACGCTTCAGGTTACATACACTTCAGGTTAATGACTCCGCTAACCCAGAAATAGTGCTTCAGGTTAAGAACTTTGCTTCAGGATGAGAACAGAAATCATGCTCCGGCGGCGCGGCGGCAGCAGGAGGCCCCATTAGCTAAAGTGGTGCTTCAGGTTAAGAACAGTTTCAGGTTAAGAACAGACCTCCGGAACGAATTAAGTTCTTAACCCGAGATACCACTGTATTCTGATGTGATCTAGACAGTTTCCTAGAAGCACAAAATGATGCCGTTGGCAAATTTGGCCCCAGCACATCTGCTCTGAAAGCAGAAAGAAATTTCCTCAGGTGTATTTGATCCTGAGGAGGCAAAGCACACACTGCTCTTTGCCACCAAGACAGAGCTATTTAAGGATGCTGATCCTCTTAAATCTCCAGCTTACCTCTGCTTTAAAAAAGAAAAGAGCCATTGTCAGTGATTTTGCACATTTCTTCAAGTCAAAGTGCTCTTGAAACTCTACTGCCCAACCCAAAACCCTTTGTGATGGCGTAATATAACCTCAGAAAGTGGTTTGTCAGTTTTACTTTAGAACACAATTAGAATTCTAGAAATGTGTAACAAATGTTCAAAAAGGAGGGGAAATGGGTTGCTGCAAACCTAAGTACAAGGAAGCAAGTCTTGAAGTCTCTTGCTCCTCAAGGACGATCTTTCATAGTCTGTTGCCAGCAAAGTGAATGAAGCAGGACGGTGCCCAAAAACAGATTAGGAAAAGGAAGAAGAAACTGAAATTGATGTTGGCTTCAAATCACATGATACCAGTTCGTAAACCTCACTAGAAATAGAAGTTGAAGGATGGCAAGGAATTAACTAACTTGGTGTTAAACCACAGTAGTAGCAGGAGTGTATGTACTGTATATTCGCTGTCCACAGTCAGGTGCACAGGACTTAAGCACATTGAATTCCTGGTTGGCTTGTGGTCAGTGACTTGAGTCACAACAGTGGAAAGCAGAGTGATTCCGGGCAGTCTGGCTACACTTGTTCCAGGAACCCATATTTCTAAGAGGCAGAAATGCAGGGCTGAGAGCCTCTTATGAGAGCTAAGACAAGAGGTTTCAGGGAAGAAGCTGGAATACGAGAGACAGGGAGAGGGGGAGAGAGAGACAGAGACAGAGAGAGAAAGAGAGATTTGCAGTCCTGGTGACTCACTTTTTCATACATCACAACACAATTTGGCTGCAGTGCTTTACTCAGCTGTGACCTGATGGTTACTAAACCTCTGGTATTTCAGATACAAAACAAACTGAGCCTAAAATTTGTAGCTGATCCATTCCTTTGGGGCATTAACAACAGCCTTTAACCATTGATCCATGCATTACATGAACTGTTAGGGAACCAGGAATTAGTATTCTCCCACTTTGTCTAATGAAGGGCTTTGTGCTACTCAAAAGCGTCAATGCCCCTCTGCCAAGAATCATAGAACTGTAGAGTTGGAAGGGACCCAAGGGTCATCTAGTCCAACCAATGGACTATGCAGGAATCTCAGCTAAAGCATCCATGACAGATGGCCAGACAACCTCTGCTTAAAAACTTCCAAGGAAGGAGAGTCTGCAACCTCCTGAGGGAGTCCATTCCACTGTTGAACAGCTCTTTCTGTCAGGAAGTTTTCCCTGATGTTTAGTCGGAATCTCCTTTCCTGTAACTTGAAGCCATTGGTTTGAGTCCTACTCTCTGGAGCTGGAGAAAACAAGTTTGTTCCCTCTTCCATGTGACAGCCATTAAGATATTTGAAGATGGCTATCGTATCTCCTCTCATTCTCCTCTTTTCCAGGCTGAGCATACCCAGATCCTTCAACTGTTCCTCATCAGGCTTGGTTTCCAGACCCCTGATCATCTTGGTTGCCCTCCTCTGCACACGTTCCAGCTTGTCAACATCCTTCTTAAATTGTGGTGTCCAGAACTGGACACAGTATTCCAGGTGTGGTCTGACCAAGCCAGAACAGAGTGGTTCTGTGACTTCCCTTGATACTACTGTTGATTCAGCCTAGAAGAGCATTAGCTTTTCCTTGCTAATTGGCACGATAGCTGCCATCTTGTATTCTTCAAAGGGTTAAGTTTCAGTGGGCAGCACTTTATAGTAAGAGGAGTGGTTTTCTCACAGAACGTTTTAAAGTAAAAATAAATAAAGGCGATTTTGCACAGGGAAACATGCAAGAATAGCAAACAAATGGAACTTATGCTCCACTGCTTTTACAGTAAGGAAGGCAAGTGAATTTCTGGCACAAAGGGAGGAGCAGAAAGCCTGTAATGAAAGCCAAATTGTATTTAATTGTCGAGTCTTTTGTTGCACATGAATGGAACTTTAGGCGGGGAGTCTTGAGAACATGTTCTTTCTGCTAAGGAGCAAAGTTACAAAGTTTATAAAACAACCTGCACTTAGGGCCACCTCACTGCCATCTGCTATTAAAGATTGTCCAAAACTTCTGTATAATCCCAAACTCTGGGAGAAAGGATTTTCAGTACCTTTAATATATGACAGATCAAATAGGATAACGAGCTCTACATTTCAGCACCCCCAAGAAGGAAAAAAATAAACGCCCAAAGTTTTGCAATTCTGAAATCCAAGCTCACTTATCAGAGTACAGTGGTACCTCGGGTTAAGTACTTAATTCGTTCCGGAGGTCCGTTCTTAACCTGAAACTGTTCTTAACCTGAAGCACCTCTTTAGCTAATGGGGCCTCCTGCTGCTGCCGCACCGCCGGAGCCCGATTTCTGTTCTCATCCTGAAGCAAAGTTCTTAACCTGAGGTACTATTTCTGGGTTAGTGGAGTCTGTAACCTGAAGCATATGTAACCTGAAGTGTATGTAACCCGAGGTACCACTGTAACTCCTTTCATAACATTATTGATATGAAGAGGGGCATCATACAATTACTGAGAAGTGGACCGTATATTATACCATATTATGTAAATGGTACACCTTTGCATACATTTACTTCCAACTTCCACATTTGATTCTTGTTGCTTATATTGCTTACAGTTGATGAAGTGCCATTTTAAGTGGCTGGAGGTCAGGGCTCCTAGGTGTTCACAGAGTTAGGAGATTGGGGCAGGAGTTCTGAGCTTGCAGGACAAGAATACAAACGCAACTTACGAGAACCAGGAATGCTGGCTAGTCAACGCTAGTAAAAGCAAGCATGACATGGGTGATGCAGGCGAAGTATTTTTCCAGTAGTAGATTTTGGTGGCATGCCAGCCGTAGCTGGTAAAAGGCACCATGGGCAATGCCCACAGATGCTATTTGGAATCCAACCTGGGTTTGGGAGAAATTCCAAATCTGGTTCTTAAGAGGGAAGGAGTGGAATCCCAGGCATTTCCCCAATCAGCTGGTCTACTGAATCTCCCACCACTGTCTTGTCTGTCTTGCCTGGATTGAACTTAAGTTTATTCAGCACCCCTTGGCTGAAAGCTGTGCCTCCTAATCTTAGATATGTAGGAAAAATTGCTCAGTGCTGTGGGAAATGCACTTGGCACATAGGGGCACTTCCAGTCCTTACTTTTTCCTTCATGTATTTTGGACTCCTCAATATTGAAACCAGTTTCTGAAGCCAAAATCTGGTGCATCCCTGACTTGCATAGGAAGCCAACTGGAAGGAAAGAAGCAGAAGAGGAGGAGGGGGTGTGTCTTGTGGCTCATACATATGACTGGGACAGAGAAAGAGAGATACAGCTCTCTCTAGACTCAGGGACTGGAGCCACCTATTAGGGTGGACTCTTAAATATTACGAGAGAGAGAGAGAGAGAGAGAGAGAGAGAGAGAGAGAGAGAGAATGAAGCAGTAAGAAAGAAGAGGAAACAGATGGTGGGGGGAGATGTGCATGCTCATTTATTTGTAGAGATGCAAGTGCAGAAACAATTAGTATAATTTAAATCAAAATATACTTCTCACTATACCAGGGAAGACTGTGACCAGGTGTTCAGTCTGCTTTTTAAAAGGTAAAGGGAGCCCTGACCATTAGGTCCAGTCGTGACTGACTCTGGGGTTGCGGCGCTCATCTCGCTTTATTGGCCAAGGGAGCCGGCGTACAGCTTCCAGGTCATGTGGCCAGCATGACTAAGCCACTTCTGGCAAACTAGAGCAGTGCACAGAAACATCGTTTACCTTCCCGCCAGAGCGGTGCCTATTTATCTACTTGCACTTTGACGTGCTTTCGAACTGCTAGGTTGGCAGGAGCAGGGACCGAGCAACGGGAGCTCACCCCATCACGAGGTTTCGAACTGCTGACCTTCTGATCAGCAAGTCCTAGGCTTTGATAGGAAATTTCAAAAGCCTGTTATCCCTTCTTTAGGGTGTTCTTTTTTTGAAAAAAGAATCTTTAAACCAGATTGGGTCTGAACAGAGGACAGCTTCAAATAGAGAATTGTCCTCGAACAGCCTTCAAATAGAGAACTGCCTTCTATAAAACAGGGCACACGGCCACCCCAGCCACCACTGTCTGAGAAGAAGAGCACACAAGCCACTTCAAGCAAGTAGGCAGCGTCTCCAGAGACATGCTTTTGCCGAGTCAACTGAGAGAGATGCCAGAGTCAAGCCTAATTTGGTCTTGAAATATCCCCTTCTCTTCACCGTCCCTCGGATGTTCAAGTGGCAAAATTCCAGTTCCCATGGCAAAGCTGCCAAAGAAGAAAGGTCAGTGAAGGACTTCTGTGAAGGAGTTGCTTCTCTGTTTCTTTCGCAACAGCATATAGACACCCTCTCATTAAAAACCCATTGCTCTGGGATTGAAGTTAAGTGGTTTCATGCGGTAATGGTACAAAAGAATATGGAAAAATTGGTTTTTAATATCTAAAAATTTAATGTTATAATATATCAAGATTAAAGATCAGGATTAAAAAGGAGGGAAAGGAATCGCTGGACTAACAAACTGAATTAGAATACAAAAGAGGGAGGTATGAGGAGGTCCGGGAAACAAGTAAATGTAAAAGAAGTGATGAAAAGATGGAATTGTTTTTAACTGCTTTTTCTTTTTTGTATTTTGTATTTTGTATTTTTCCTTTTTATTGTTAATTTTCTTATTAATGTGATCTTTTTCTTTTGAAATTTTAATAAATATCATTTAAAAAAAATAAAAATAAAAACCCATTGCTCTGAAGCAGGATGCCAAGGGTAGGAAAATCAGCTTTTCTAAGTCTCAGCTGCAGAAACAGAGTAAAAACCGTGCATATGTAGAGTTGCCATATGTCCTCTTTTTCTGGACATGTCCTCTTTTTCAGGGGTATAATTTCTGTCCAGGCAATTTTTTTAAATTTGCCAAATGTCTGGGTTTTGTTTCTTCCTTCCTGCTGGGCTGCCTCCTTCTCCTTTGTCAATATGATTGGGGTGAGGGGGAGAGAAAAAGAAGAATTTCTTCTGTGTGGGTTGGGGAGGGGGCGTGAATCAGCCAAGTTTCTCTTTCTTGCCCTCTTATTGGATTTCGAGGTACCTGTTTGTATCATAATACTATATATATATCACAGCTTCTATAGCCTACATATTGTAAAGGTAAAGGGACCCCTGACCATTAGGTCCAGTCGTGACCGACTCTGGGGTTGTGGTGCTCATCTCGCTTTACTGGCCGAGGGAGCCGGCATACAGCTTCCGGGTCATGTGGCCAGCATGACTAAGCCGCTTCTGGCGAACCAGAGCAGCGCACGGAAACGTCGTTTACCTTCCCAACGGAGCGGTACCTATTTATCTACTTGCACATTGACGTGCTTTTGAACTGCTAGGTTGGCAGGAGCTGGGACCGAGCAACGGGAGCTCACCCCGTGATGGGGATTCGAACTGCCGACCTTCTGATCAGCAAGTCCTAGGCTCTGTGGTTTAACCCACAGCGCCACCCGCGTCCCTCCTACATGTTGTAGGGCTGTTTAAAATGAGAGTCATCATAGCAATCCGTAGTTAAAAGGAGAAGTTGGCAAATGTGTCCTCTTTTTTGCACTTCAAAATATGGCAACCCTAGATGGCATGGGTAAATAAGGAGATATGGGTTCTACCATACAAATGTTTTATCCAATATGAGAAGCGTAAGTCCTGCCTACACATGGTTCATCAAAGTCATAACAGAGGGTACAAATGGAGTAAAAATAAGGCATTCAGAAGGTGATGCTGAAAATGCTCCTCACCTAGGGCACCACTTGGTTCAGGGACTATCCTCAAATGAGCCCACATATTAATTTTCCTATGCCCTCAGCTCAACTGAAGATGGTGTGCATTTCTATTCAAGGAGCAACAAGGGTCTGGTCAACCTCGCACTTCTCTGCTCCAAAACAAAAGTGAGGAAGGTTCTAATCCGAGAGATGTTGTTTGCAGATGACACAGCCTTGACAGCACACTCTGGGGAGGCTCTACAGAGAGTCATCAACCACTTTGTCCAAGTCTGCAAGGAGTTTGGCCTTACCATCAGCCTGATGAAGGCCAAAATCCTGCGTCAGGACATTGGCAGCCCTTGACACATCAGCACTGGTGACCACACGTTTGAGGTGGTATACAAATTTGGTGGTGAAGGTCCTGTGTGAGTGCTTGGAAGCAGTTGCAGGATAGGTGGCAGCTAATGGATTGAGGTTGAAGCCTGACAAGACAGAAGTACTGTTTTTGGGGGACAGGGGGTGGGCTGGTGTGGAGGACTCCCTGGCCCTGAATGGGGTAACTGTGCCCCTGAAGGACCAGGTGCGCAGCCTGGGAGTCATTATGGACTCACAGCTGTCCATGGAGGTGCAGGTCAATTCTGTGTTCAGGGCAGCTGTCTACCAGCTCCATCTGGTATGCAGGCTGAGACCCTACCTGCCCGCAGAACTATCTCACCAGAGTGATGCATGCTCTCGTTATCTCCCGCTTGGACTACTGCAATGCGCTCTACGTGGGGCTACCTTTGAAGGTAACCTGGAAACTACAACTAATCCAGAATGTGGCAGCCAGAGTGGTGACTGGGAGTGGCCGCCGAGACCATATAACACCGGTCCTGGAAGACCTACATTGGCTCCCAGTACGTTTCTGAGAACATTTCAAAGTGTTGGTGCTGACCACTAAAGCCCTAAATGGCCTCGGCCCAGTATACCCAAAGGAGTGTCTCCATCCCCATCGTTCTGCCCGGACGTTGAGGTCCAGTGCTGAGGGCCTTCTGGTGGTTCCCTCACTGCAAGCAGTGAAGTTACAGGGAACCAGGCAGAGGGCCTTCTCGGTAGTGGCGCCCGCCCTGTGGAACACCCTCCCATCAGATGTCAAAGAAATAAACAACTATATGACATTTAGAAGATATCTGAAGGCAGCCCTGTTTAGGTAGGTTTTTAATGACTGATGTTTTAATGTATTTTTAATCTTTTGTTGGAAATTGCCCAGAGTGGTTGGGAAACCCAGCCAGATGGGTGGGGTAGAAATAATAAATTATTATCATTATTATTACCTGGGCTACACCATAACCAGCAAGCTCTCCCATCAATGCTGAGCTGGGCAAGTGTACATTGGTACCCTGTGTTGAGAACGAAATTCATTCTGGAGGTCCGCTCTTAACCTGAAACTGTTCTTAACCTGAGGTACCACTTTAGCTACTGGGCCCTCCCGCTGCCACGCAATTTCTGTTCTCATCCTGAAGCAAAGTTCTTAACCTGAGGTACTATTTCTGGGTTAGCGGAGTCTGTAACCTGTAGCATCTGTAACCTGAAGCATCTGTAACCCGAGTTACCACTGTACTGGGAAAGCAGTGATTGCAATGGCTTGCCTCTCCCAAAGGGTATGCTTAGGACCATACCAAGATGAAGGTCTACCATCTGACATGTTGAACATGCCACTTTATGGAAGTGAGTCGTGGACAACTCACACCTGCCAGCAGCGATGACACAATGCATTTCATATGCGCTGTGTCTGAAAGATTTTGGGCGTTACATGGCAGGGCAGAGTCTCAAAGAAAGATGTGCTCCTCCAAGCTCACAATCCCAGCATGTTTGCACTTCTGTCTCAGCTACATCTAAGCTGGCTTGGTCATGTACACAGAATGGAAGATGGCAGTATTCCCAAGGACATTGCTCTATGGGGAGCTGGTTCAGGAACTAGGCCTGCTGGCAGACCAACTCTGTATTACAAAGATGTCTGCAAATGGGAGATGGAGGCTGGTAACATTAACCCTGCTGAGTGGGACTCATTTGCAGGGAACTTCTCTAAGAATCCCTTCCAACCTAAATCCAAGAGGCTTAACGACTTTTCACAACTTAATACCTAGCTCTGTTAGTTATAAGTCAGGTCCTATGTATGCTTGGGACGCGGGTGGCGCTGTGGGTTAAACCACAGAGCCTAGGACTTGCCGATCAGAAGGTCGTGGTTCGAATCCCTGCCACGGAGTGAGCTCCTGTTGCTTGGTCCCAGCTCCTGCCAACCTAGCAGTTCGAAAGCATGTGACCAGTGGGGTGCCACAGGGTTCTGTCTTGGGCCCGGTCTTATTCAACATCTTTATCAACGACTTGGATGATGGACTCAAGGGCATCCTGATCAAATTTGCAGATGACACCAAACTGGGAGGGGTGGCTAACACCCCAGAGGACAGGATCACACTTCAAAACGACCTTGACAGATTAGAGAACTGGGCCAAAACAAACAAGATGAATTTTAACAGGGAGAAATGTAAAGTATTGCACTTGGGCAAAAAAATGAGAGGCACAAATACAAGATGGGTGACACCTGGCTTGAGAGCAGTACATGTGAAAAGGATCTAGAGTCTTGGTTGACCACAAACTTGACATGAGCCAACAGTGTGACGCGGCAGCTAAAAAAGCCAATGCAATTCTGGGCTGCATCAATAGGAGTATAGCATCTAGATCAAGGGAAGTAATAGTGCCACTGTATTCTGCACTGGTCAGACCTCTCCTGGAGTACTGTGTCCAGTTCTGGGCACCACAGTTCAAGAAGGACACTGACAAACTGGAACGTGTCCAGAGGAGGGCAACCAAAATGGTCAAAGGCCTGGAAACGATGCCTTATGAGGAACGGCTAAGGGAGCTGGGCATGTTTAGCCTGGAGAAGAGGAGGTTAAGGAGTGATATGATAGCCATGTTCAAATATATAAAAGGATGTCACATAGAGGAGGGAGAAAGGTTGTTTTCTGCTGCTCCAGAGAAGCGGACACGGAGCAATGGATCCAAACTACAAGAAAGAAGATTCCACCTAAACATTAGGAAGAACTTCCTGACAGTAAGAGCTGTTCGACAGTGGAATTTGCTGCCAAGGAGTGTGGTGGAGTCTCCTTCTTTGGAGGTCTTTAAGCAGAGGCTTGACAACCATATGTCAGGAGTGCTCTGATGGTGTTTCCTGCTTGGCAGGGGGTTGGACTCGATGGCCCTTGTGGTCTCTTCCAACTCTATGATTCTATGATTCTATGTCAAAGTGCAAGTAGATAAATAGGTACCGCTCCAGCGGGAAGGTAAATGGCATTTCCGTGCGCTGCTCTGGTTCGCCAGAAGCGGCTTAGCCATGCTGGCCACATGACCCGGAAGCTGTACGCCGGCTCCCTTGGCCAATAAAGCGAGATGAGCGCCGCAACCCCAGAGTTGGTCACGACTGGACCTAATGGTCAGGGGTCCCTTTACCTTTATATATGCTTACTTGGAAGTAAGCTCTACTGTGTTCATTGTGCTTAGCAGCCTAGTCTCACAGCTTGATCCTATGCATATTGACTCAGGCGTAGGTCCCACTGAGTTCCGTAATGCTTACTTCCAGCTAAGTCTGCATAGGATTGCAGTCTCTGACTGTTTCTGAACCATGTATTGAATTGGCCCGATGCAACTGAATGTGGGTTTGCTGCAATTGTTAGCATGTATTGTCACATTGCACATTATCTCCACCCTCTAGTCAAGCTCTGTTCCTAAGGACTTTCATTCACATCCCAAAATACTAGTTAAGTTAATTAGCTGGACAAATTAGTAGTTATGCTATGCTGTACAAAACAAACACAGAGCATGGAAATGAATACACAAGGGAACTGCTCACCCAGGGGATGGGCTCATTGCCAATGTGCAACTATTTCCTAGGAGGCTGAGAAACAGGTGGTATTTGCAGCATTTTAAAACACTCCGACAGACCAAATGAATAAAAGGGAACACAAACATATTTAAAGCACAAGTGTGTGTATAACACACACACACACACACACACACACACACGTACATCAGTTTTACTAAATGCCCTGTAAAAATAAACTGGTTTAAAGTGGTATCTGAATAAATCGCCAACAATGCAATACATAAATGTATTGCAATAAATGTATTGCAACAATTGTAATGCATATGCGTGTGTGTCAGTTTTACTAAATGCCCTTTCAAAAGTAACTCAGTTTAAAGTGGTATCTGAGTGAATCACCAGCAAATATAATTTAAGAGTATGCTCATAGTGCCAACAGCAAATTATATAGCCTTAAGCCTATTGAGTGATACAGTCACAGAGAAGATCCAATGGACTTCTGTAACTTGAGTCCATTTATTTCAGTGGGTTTACTTTGAGTTTGACTTAGTTGGAAATGACCTTTCTTGCCTTTCATTAGTATGTTGTTACAAAAAACAAAAAAAGGTGATGGTATATTCAAATTGATTAGATGCTCATTTTCCAACCAGATTTTAATGACATCTGAACTTAACTGGATTTAAGCCGTTTTGTGTCAGTGGATTCACACTGCCTTAAATCAAAAGGCCCTCCTGCCCAACTTCACCAAGTAATTCAGATTTACTGTATTTTTCACTCTATAGCACCCGACCATAGGACGCACCTTGTTTTAGAGGGGGAGAACAAGAAAAAAATAATTCTTCCCCTCTCTGCTCAGCACCCCTTCAGCGAAGCAGCAGGAGAAACGGAGCCCCTTCCATTTCTCCTCCCGCTTCGCTGAAGGGGCGCTGCACAGCTCCCCCTCTCTGCTGAAGCCAGGAGAGTATTGCTCTCCCGGCTTCAGCAAAAGGAACCTGAAGCCTCCGGAGCACAGCAGAAGCTCCCGCTGTGCTCTGGAGGCTTCAGGAAACTATCCCTGAAGCCTGGAGAGCAAGAGGAGTCGGTGCACACCAACCCCTCTTGCTCTCCAGGCTTCAGCTGAAGCAACGCGAAGCCTCTGGAGCACGGAGGGAGCGCTCCCTCTGCGCTTCGGAGGCTTCGAGTTGCTATCGCTGAAGCCAAGGAGCCTGAATTCGCTCCATAGGACGCACACACATTTCCCCTTAATTTTTGGAGGGGGAAAAGTGCGTCCTATAGAGCAAAAAATACGGTACTTTGCTCGATGGGAAACCATTCTGCCCAGCAATGCTGGAGATCTCACAGTGCTGGTGAATTGAGTGATCGCAGAGATGCTGGAGGTTTTGGTTGGCACATACAACCCGCAGCCCCTATAATCTCTCCCAATTCCCACCATCTGCCTCTTTTTATGTTTGGGTGCAGCTTGCAGTTTGATAGGAGAACTGATTTTGTGTGACATGTGCTTGCAAGTCTCAGGAAAGTGCATTGCAATATTAATAGGCACAGGCAGTCCTCAGCCAGGAGTCTCTGTTTCGCAACACCTCCCACAACTTTGCAAGAATAAGTGATATAGTCAGTTGCTGTTTGTTTTCTCAAGCAGAATGTTCCTATGGGTGAAATTGTGGCAATATGTGTAACAATAGCAAGAACACTGCAGAAAACCACTGGTTTTAATCTCTTTATTGCAAGAAGAAATAATGTGTTCCTGTTGTGCAGTTAGTAGCAGAGGACATACAGAATTCTCTTGAGAAATTCCAATGTTATCTTTTAGCTTCTCTTGAAATTCCTCAGATATTTTGCCTGAGGAACATTGGCATTCTTTTGAGTATTTTGCCCAAGCTTGTGCCTCCAAATTTGCCTCAAATGTCATTGTATTCATAACTCATTAGTGACTCCTAAGAAAGGATGACTGAATATGGCAATTCATTTTCTCGCTTTTCCAATCTTAAATTAAGACTGTGCCAATTTCTCCTGATAGACACATTTTTTTGTTAGCAAATTTGCCTAACATACACATTTTGGAAAGCAATTTTCCTTAACATAATTCACGCTTGCATGTTATTTTCATTAATATATGCATTCATATGCACACCTTACCCTAGCATA